ATCAAGTAGCCAGGACTATGGATAATTTGTATATCAGATAGGACTTAGTCTGATGCAGTATCACAAGGCGATGAATGAGAACTGCACCGGTGCATCACATACAGTCCTCACTTCTGTCCGCCGCTGTACGGTGCCGTGCTACCTTTCGCTCTCGCTCCTGCCGCCATGGCCTCGCCGGATTCCTGACGGGTCCATCGACAGGGAACGATAGGACATACCATCCCTACCCACCCCTCTGCCCCACCCCACCCTCTGTCTGACATTCGACGGGCCCACAAGAATACAAAGTGGGCTCTCCGCCGCCACGGAGGGCAGGCAGAGGAGCGCGCGCGCTCGCCTCGGGCAGCTGAGTCAACCCGGATTCTGCGCAAGGTCAGCCCGCACCGTGTGTGACGTCACCTCGCCCTGTGTGACGTCACACTTCCGCCAATGACGGGCCTCGGCGGCAGCTAATTGGTGGACGGCAGCTGGCACCACCAGGATGCGGTCTGCGAGAGAGCTCTGACAGTGCTGAAGTTGTTTGCATTCTGAACCTTTGAGTTGGCGCCCTCAGGCGCTCTGCAGGGTGGATCTTGGGGAGGGGTAGATGAGAGGAAGGAGTAGGGAGTTGTGTTTGCTAGGGGGGGGGGGGCGATGGTCGTTAGAGGGGTAAGGGCCAACGAGTGATAGTCGTCAGAGAAAGAAGAACAGCTCCTTATAGAGGGAAGATAGGTGGGCAGCTAGTTTCCCAGGGAGGGTACTGGACAGACGTAGTCGTCAGGTCAGTAGGAGAGCGGACCCCATCGAGAAGTTGTCGAGGTCAGGGGAACATATTTGTCAGAGATGGCAAAGAAGAAAGGTTGTCAGGAAGGGTGACTTTGGCAGCCTCCTCCACCCATCCACGATACGGGGAACCAAACAATTAACTGCCATCCGCGATTCTAATGAATCCAAGAGGCTTCAGCCACCGTTTTTGTGCTATTGATTTTATGCCACGTTAGACGAGGAGCCTGGGAAGATTGGATGAGGTCCTATTCTCATTAATCCTTCACCCGAAACAAAGGGCAAAGCCGCAGTATTTTATCGTAATATGTGGTTGGGACACTGATTGATATTGATGGCGTTTTCATCACATGTTAACCGGTCCTCATCACAAAATAATTGAAGCCTATAGGCAGCGAAGAAGCCATGCAACTGACGCGACTGTACCCCAATCAGCCCCAACTGCTTGGATCATAAGGCCATGTTTCTTCATCGGCTGTCATCTTTGTGCCTTGAAACTTATATTTCAAACAAACCTCTTCATGACCCATTGGGTATTCCCGTAATAACTGCGATGTTACGTGTTTGCCCTCTTATATGCTACGTCTGTTGAATCCTTCTTGCATAGCTACGAAATACCATTTAATACAAAAGTCTTCCTTAACTGCCTTCGCCAAAAGACTTTGCACGTAGAGGTATCGACGTAATGCATCACAAGGCATCACAAATTTGATTTGTAAACCTGCTCGTCTTCTCAGTCGCCTATCCTAGCCATCCACTACAGCCAGTCGCCTGGCTGTAGCTGTAACAGCAAGTCGATCAGTCGTATGTCCTAGGAATTCGCGCACGTTTTTCTTTGCAGCCGTGTCCTTTAAGGAATTCGTACAGGTTTTTCCTTGCCCGTCCAGCCGTCTGCTCGTTATCTCTGTACTGCTTGTTACTGCATCAGCCGCTCGTATAGCTGTTTGTGCAGCTTATGTGAGGAGTTAGTTTAGACCATTGTTCTACCCATCCGTTTCACCATTTCTCCAGTCATTTCTCTAATAACGTTCGTCTAACCATTCATCAAAAGTTTGTTAGGCATTTGACCGGTGTTCATTTAGCCTATCGTACAACATTTGTCCATCCGTCCGTCTAACGTTTCGAACAGCCGTTCGTCCAACTTTTGGTCTAGCCATGTGTCCACCGTTTCGTTTAGCCATTCGTTCAACGTTTCATTTAGCCTTTCGTCCAGCATTTCGTTTAGCCATTCGTCCTGCGTTTCTTTTAACCATTCGTATAACATTTCGTCTAGCTATTCGTCCAAAGTTTTTAGTCTGGCTTCTCGTCCAACGTTTGTCTAGCCGTTCGACCTTCCAGCCGTTTGTCCAGAGGTCCACCTGCAGCGACGCCCGGTCCACCTGTTACCGCAGTGGTCTGCTCTGCCGCCCAGCTGGTTCCAAAGTGACCATCTGGCGCGACCAAGGGCCGACTAAAAACCCCACACCAGATGAGCTGCGGGCCCAAACTGCCCGCCGGAGCTGCCGCAGACAGCGGAGGACGTTGGCTCCGCGGTTATGAATGCTGTGAAATCATGGAGCAGGGAGAGGAAAATCGACTGACAATACTGCGGTAATGACTGCAAGATAATCGTTCCTGGGGCCGTATTCACGTCGACTTCGTAAGTCGATTTTCTTTCGTAAGTATGATTTGGTATTCACGTCGACACTTCTTAAGTTTTAATCGATTGAGTTCACGTGAATACAAAAATTTACTTAAGAAGTAAGTCAAACTTAAGAAAATTCTTACGAAAATGATCGACGTGAATACGGCCCCTGGTCCCTGATTTGGTCTCTCTCTCTCTCTCTCGCTCTCTCTCTCTCTCTCTCTCTCTCTCTCTCTCTCTCTCTCTCTCTCTCTCTCTCTCTCTCTCTCTCTCTCTCTCTCTCTCTCTCTCTCCCTCTCTCTCTTTCTTCCTCCCTCTCTCTCTCTCTCTTTCTCTCTCTTTCTCTCCCTCCCTCTCTGCATCCATCGTCGCATAAACCATCTTCGGATCTCAGCTTTACGTTACGGAACACCCTTCAACCCTCTCTGTGGCTTCCTCATCCCATTTCAGTCCTCTACCCCTTTCTTCACTCCCTCCCAACGCCTCCACCGAGCTCGGCCTTTGCAACCACCGCCACACATGCAGTCTCCCCACAGTCTGCCCTTTACCACAATCAACCCTCCCCTACATCGCGACCACCCACGGTCTCAGTTTATCCCAGTTTCCCGCCGCTTCGGCCCGGGAAGGTTGGCAGAACCACAGGGAACAGAGCTGTGGAGAATGGAGCGGCGCGAAACGCGGTGCGCCACTTCCGTCACACGGCGCCACGATGGTCGCTCCGGCGTCACCACCGTGACAGAGACTGATAATATGCGCCGGCGACCTCAGAGTACTTGAGGACGAAGAGGGTGCGTGGGAGGGAGAACCGACTTGGCATGAGTAACGTGCGGTGTTCTTGGAGGACAATTGAGACTGAGATGGCACCAGATTGCGTCGTTTGATGCGTATGGAGTAATATGCAACTGACCTCTGGTGTTGCGAAACTGATGCACACGCTCACTGAAGGGCGATTTTTGGGGTGGGCGGTGCACAGGCGTCGCACGGTCGGAAGTTGTCTCACCCGGTCTATCTGGCATCATGTTGGGTTACCCCGGGTCACCAGCCCAATTCCCAAAACCGGCAATCCGAACGGCCGACAGTCAATATGCAGTGATCAAATTGATCGGTGTCGTTAGCTGCAAACCTGATAATTAGCGAGCCGAAGCATTGCAACTAACACAATGGCGGAGTCCGTCAAACAAGCATGTTGGTGAACAGTCAGGTATCTGATGTGCTGCATACACCCGATCGCAGAGCATGCCACCGAACGGTCCGCAGTCGGAGGCCGGTTCGGCCACGTGGGGTATTTGCACGCGGCGGTAATTGGTCTCAATATCGGCCATGGGAATGCCGCCGGCCCGGAGGCCAGTGTTGCTGACCCAGTTCGGGGTATATGTGGACCGCCCACCCATCCCCTACACGCTGATTCACCCGTGTGATGTTTCCAGTTTCCGCCATCTTCCGGGAACGTCGGCGCACCACAGGAAGGCAACACTCGCTCGTCATATTTATCGACGGACGAAAAACAGTCAAACATCTACCCTGTCAACTGTCATCGCAGAAACATTCCGTATCGACCGCTGTCTTTTTCGCTGATGCGTCTTGGGAAGATTAGCACCTTGCGGTAATATCAAGTCGATGACCGTTAGTTAAAAATCAATCTGTTCTCACCCACACGAAGTGTCATTGTTCAACTGACCCCAGGAACAGTGGCACGATCCGCCTGCAATATAGCGGATTACGGAAACTGTTCATGACTTTTTCTTGGCTTACTGACCGATCACACCACGTTCTTTACCTGTTTGAGGATGATATCCTCAAGGGCGTGGCCATGACTTTGTAAAGGAAAAGTACTAAACTGTGCCGTGAGAACGTCCATCGGTGAACGTTAATAGAAAATGTGCAAATATACGAAAATATAAATGGATACGGTAAAACAATGGGACTTGCAACAAGCGCATATTACGTAACTGTGTTACCTGCGATCATAAGTGTCAGTAACTGAAAACTATCAAACTAATTCGTCACTCCACCACAAGATTACAGCTAATATGGAGTGTTTCTGCAAGAACCTATAGATGAAAGCCTTGTGTATTATTTGCATTATTCTGACACAATATTGGTTTGGCACGTTTTATCTGTATGAACAAAGAGTAGAAGAACATAAGGAGGAGAGGTAGAAGGAGGGAGAGGAAGAAGAGGACGAGGAGGGCTGACAATTATGAGGATCAAGAAATCATTACGATTATCATTATGATGATGGAGTAACAAATTAAACATAAAGTAAATAATTGCTTCGAAAAGACAGAAGACGAAGACAGAAGAAACGCCCACCCGATAAATCAACGCAAGCGCTACTGCAGATTGCGATGCAGCACAGGTACCGGCTGAGTATGGTCTCTGGCGTGCAGACCGGGCCGGACCGGAGCCTGTCGGCGCGGTCGGCCGGCCGGTGGCCACCCCCGCGCCGGCCGTGTCGGCGGCGGCGGCGGCGCTGGTCGGGTCAGTGCCAGGTCACTGGCGCCAGCCGGATGACCGGTTCGTCGGCGGCCCGCCGGCGGCCACCAATCACGGCCGTCGCGCGGCCGGCCGACGGCCCCTACTAGGCGGCTGGTGCCGGCACGTCGACAGTCAGTCGGCCGCCGACGAGCAGCACGGCCGCACGGCCCGCCTCCCTCTCTCCGCTGCCACTGCCAGCAGCGCGCCCGACCTGGGCCTCGTGTGCTACCCGGCGCCGCCGACACAGAGCGGTCACAACAGACGTCCCCCATCTACGGGCATTACCAGGTGAGTGGCCGCGCACCGGCGCCTCTCCGCGATGTGGACGTGATGATCGATGAAGTGACTGTGATCGAATATATGGAGCTCGGACTTTGCTCCCCGTGGTAGGGGTGCATATGACCCGATGATACACCGGCTCATCGGAGAAAAGGACGAATGTGATGCTGAGACGGCGCCGAGAACCGACGGCGATCAGCGATGAAGGAGCGAAATGAAAGAACACTACGACACTCAACACATGAAACTATTTATAGCATGCTAAAGAAAATACCATTCATAGTAGACAAGTATCCACAGTCCTGTTACAACTGTACCTTTGCAAGATTCCAAGCATGCATAAACACATTTGGCTATTTATCAAAGTGGAAAAGTCGTAAATTATCATATGGGCTCTGTTTATTCCCTAATAGTCATCTAATCAGTGCGACTCAACAGCATACCGCTCTAATTTCCCCTGTTTCTAAAATTTTCTTGCATCAAGTCTAAATGCGAGTAATTCAAAATTTCGAAAGCATTTGTGCTTTGAAAATATACCCATTTTTTGATAAAAAGAAAAATATTATTTCAACCGGTAACTTACTTTACAAAATACACGCCGTTGAAATGCATTTAAAATGCACGTTTGCATTGAAAAGCGAGTATGTGGATGTCTTCTCACATTTTAGCGGTTCCGTTTAATTCAGTTTCCCTGTCGGCCACCACAAACCTCGTCTCTATCCCCCGCTTGTCTCAATGGCACGGGTAGTACTGACGTCATTTACACACAAGGACAGCGGCTGCTGAGAGTGCCAATCTGTAGTGAGCGGCAGAGATCATTGCACGGAACACGACACGACCAAACCGGTTACCGTCTGCTCAGGGGGATTAGAGTGTCTCCTGACCACGCTTCTCGCGAGTTTTCGTCAACTCAGAGAATCGCGGGGAGCTGACTCATTGCATGTCTCCTACGTAATACTTTGGTCATTTATCTCCTGTGCTTAAGACGGGTAGCCAGTGGCGCAATAAAATTTTGAAGTTTATGTTTAATATAATCTTATATGATGTAATTATGTATTTCTCAGCATCCCTCATGAATATTCCTTAGCAAACTCGTTCCGTCCCATGCAAATAGCATGTTGTTATTAAATATAGTTGTCGGCCTTTCCACAAAGAGTCATCACTCTGTGCAGGGCGGATAATTAGTGCTGAATACAGGGTCGTAAGTGTCTGGCCCGCCCGCCCAAGTCGTTCCGTTGCGTGCCGTTCCATACGCGCCGTACCGGCGTTGCGTGGAGAGTCGTTTGTCGTTCGGAACTCCGAGCGGCTGAGCCATTAGTGTTGGGCTTTGTCAGTTGTTTTGGCGGCATCCCGAAGGTGAAGGCTGCTGACGCGTCTCTCCCCTGCAGCTAATCAGCGTCTCCCTCCGCCGCCGCCGGCTCAAGGTTCATTGGACCGCCGCTGCTGCACCCCCGTCAAATTAAACTGTGGACCTCTCGGTCAGCTAAACGGCGGCATTCCGGCTAGTTATTTACATGCATGGTGCCGTGATATGACCGGGAAGTTCCATCAGACCAAGGTCAGACGTCGTTCGACAGTCTCCCCGGCCGCTGTCAGTGCCCTCCAGATCACGGAATCGCAGTCAGTGCCCTCCGGATCACGACAGTCGCTTCAGTGGCCGCGGGCGAGCCCCGCTCCGGCTCACGTCGTTTCCACGGCTCATTTACCGGCGACGAAAAAAACGGCAACGATAAGTGGCGTCTCGGTTGCTGAGTCTCCTTCCCACGTGAATGCCAATAAAGGGTGGTCACTGACTTCAAACACCAGGGTCTACATGAACCCTCATGAGTCCTCATCGGTCTTCATGGGCCCTCATGAATCCTCCAGACCCCAGCCTGCCCATCCCCACGGCGGCCAGCCGGCGCGGCGGCGCGGCGGGCAGTTTCCGGCGCTGGCTCTCCGGTCCAGTCCGGCCATTTCACGGCCCTCTCCACAACGTCACGACTGCTGCGGCCAAGTCACGTCTTTGGGCCGGCGGTCAGCCGCCCCGCGCGCCACCATTGTCGTCGGCCAGCGCGGCGAATTAACGCGGCGCATCTGGCCGCCGGCGCGGTGCCAGGAAGTGATTCCTGGCCCGCTGCGAGTGAACGCTCGCTGCGGTATGTCGCCCCCGCCGTCTCCGTCTCCGCGCCGGGCTATCACCTGTTCGGGACCGAGCTAGTTTTGGAGGGAGATTGTTCAGACTTTGTGAGAAGGGCGGAGGCGGTTTGTGTGTCGGGTGTTGCCTGTCTACCTATCGGGAGATGACGGATTGTGTCTCGTTGGCACGCTGACCAGTCTGGGACACCCCGGGCCGGGTCAGGTCGGGTCGGCGGCGGCAGCCGGCGCGGTCATTGCCTCCGGATCTAGCCACCGCTCCCCGGGAGCTGACCGCTCGTAATCCGGGCGGCTGCAGCTCGGCCGCGCGGGGCCGGGCCGGCGGCCGCCCTGTCGTCACCGCCCCTGACCAGACCGGCGCGGGCGATCGCCGCTCGCCGTGACCCAGACTGTTCCGCGCCGACAGGAGGTCCGTTAATCTGCAGCCGGGCTGTCACCGGCCGCGGAGCCGCCCTCCCATGACTACGCGAGATCCGATTCAGGTGGTCATCGGTCTTCTCAGGAGACCGTTAAGGCCGTCCTGCTGTCTGCTCTGGTCGATAGTCTCTCCTCCCGCAGAGTCACAGCCATCAGTGTGCCTCCCGCTGTCCTCAGTTAACCGGCTGTCGTCTGAACCGATTATATTATTAGCCACAGTAAAGTTAAGTGCTTAAACCAGTCACCACGCCAGCTAATGCGTTTTATATACCGTTAATAATTTATAAGTGCTTTAAGGTTCAATGACCACCACATTGTCAATTCACATGGAAAATGAATGGCTGGAGATGGGTTTCAGCGCCATTGAATTATGCATGTTTTCTAATTATGTGGGATGACTATTGAATTAAGGTGTTTGTTTTTTGAGTGGCTGCTGGCGTTGGTGCGTTTCATCAGAACTAATAAGACACCGACAGCAGCATCGCTACCTACATTTGTAGTCAGCCCACGTCTGAGCTAGACAAGCCCTTCAGCAGTTAGTTGCCGATAGCATCTCAGATAGCCTCACTGTCGGTATTCACGCCGGCCCGTCCTCGTGACTTGGTGTGGGAGGGCCCCGGGTCCCAGGAACCTGGAGCCCTCCCGGCAGGCCGGCCCCACAACCTGCTTCGGGTAGCGGCCAGTGACGTCACCGTACCTATTCCGTGACGTCACCAGACTCCCTCCTCCGTGACGTCATTGAACTTCCTCCGTGACGTCACTCTCTGAAGACCCCTGGCGACTGTTTTGGTCCTCTAACGCAGTCAGTTCTCCTGTTACATATGGGAACACGCTGAAAAGACGAACTCGCTGGCCTTGATACTTCAATAACCTCGGTCTGGAGAACCGCTCTGGAAAGCCCTCAGCGACCACGGAGACGGGGAAAGGCTATAATAATTGAGCCGCTGATTATTATCGGCATGTTTCTAGAATGGAGACTGTGTGCCATGGACTGAAGTTTTACCCGCAAACCTTTTGTGTTATGGCGTCCAGGATGCTCTGTCTGTCTTTCCCTGTCCGTTGTGTTCGATCAGTTTTGCTCGTAAATAGCCGGAAAGAGCTCATCTACCGTTCGCTGGTGGTGTTGGCTGATTCCCTGGTGACTGGTGTATCGGAAAATGTCACCGGAGAGATCCTGTTGGTGATGGTCAACAGCCCACGGTGCCTCGTCTCTCCTGGCGACCTGGAGACCGACAGATGCTCATCTGTCGGTTATCGACCTGTGCGCCCATCCATCACCGCTTGGCGGCCATTCAATTTCGACCGCCGCCGAGCTGGGCAAATCTGCGCCAGGGCGCCGCGTCAGCCCAAACGGCTCTCTCGCTGTGTCATCCCGTGGCCATTTGACCGCCCAGGGCAGCCCAGAACAGTTTTTCGCCACTTCCTGGATGGCGTTGGCCGTCTCTGTAACGCGTCACTGGTCACGGAACGCGTAATGGATTCTGAGTAATTGTCTCATTTCCGTCATGACCTTGTCTCAGCAGGCTTCTCCGGAGCAGAAGTGCGTCTGTTCCGAGACTGCCAGTCGTCATGAGCCAGCGGCATGACTGGACGATACCGTCAATGTCAGATGCATGGAACAGACTAGCGTGTTTGGAGAGCGTGCGTTCGCTATCTATACGTTAGCCCGATCGCGCTCAGTAAAATTAACGATAGAGATAAGCGTCACGCTAGATCAGTGCTCATTCTCTTTAGACGCTATAGTTATATGCTGCTGTATTACATATTGAGACTATGATCTCAGCATGGCCAGCCCTGCTTGACATAACTTTCCTGCGAACTCTAGACCGTCGCCGAACAAAACAAGAGCGCTAATTTTTCGGCACGGCCAGTGGCACGCAGCGCAGGCGTAAAATCCCTGCGGTTGTTCCAAAACTGGAGCGGTATTCGTCCCCGCCAACTCCCGGCCTCAGACAGAGCCAGACAAACCCAGGTTCCGGACAGTGGCGCCGCGGCACGAAACTCGCGTGCATCGCCAAACGGCGCTTTGTTTTTCGGGGATTGTGCCGGTGTGGCGGCGCTTGTCCCTGCGAGGCCCGCGTGACGGGTCGGGATGCCCGACACCCCCGTCCCCACCCCGCCCGCCGACCGCCGGCCGCCGACCGGCACGCTGAATCGTAATCAGCCGCGAATATACTTATTCAAATAGGCCAAACCGCCAAATATTTGCACAAAGGTCCAACTCAAACATCGGGCGGCGGGCGGCGATGACTGCGCGGCGGCGGCGGACGGGGGCGGGGGCGCGGGCGGCGGTCGCCGGGCGCGGAGGGCTCTCACGCGCGGTGGCCGGTCGTGCCAGGAGGTGCGGGAACGCCGAGGACAATTACCTGGTCCGGCTCAGGTCCAGGTGGCGTGCGTCTAACCGGCGCTCCCACTGGACTCCCATTATCGAGGAGAGCCGTCCGACAGCGCAAGGTTACGCATCGCTCTGGCGAAGGACGCACGGTGACCGGCGAACCGATGTAATGGCTCCGAGGCACGCCGACGCTGACGCACGCAGCGTGGCCGACCACCACGTGGGCTGGAGCACCGGCCCGCCGCGGCTCTGACCCGCGGGCGCTCATGTTCGACACGACAGCCGTCAGCCGGAGGCGGTCAGCCGGGCCGCCCGGTCTGCATGCTCCGCCGTCTGCACATGCCACGCGTTCCGACGCCTCCACCAGGCGCGGCCCGGCTTGTTCCAACAGCCGGATGAACGCGCGATACATAGCCGGGTTGTTTTATGAGCAGGCTGTGTGCAGGGTCTGCAGACAACTCACCAACGGCCGCTCCGCACCCCGGCTCACCATCCGGCGCCATAAGTTTGGAGTCAGCCGTTCGGCGGCCGCCGGAGGCGACGGAGCCTTCCGCGCGCCGACCGGCGGCGGCGTCATGGGAACATCATCCCACCAAGGCCGACCGAGCCGGTCTTCCGGCCGCGCGGCGCGAACGGGGAAAAGGCTGACTGCTGGCAGCATGGCACCGAGCCGCTATGGGAGAGACGGGACGGGAAGAATAAGCGAGACGGCCTCACCAGGCTTAGTATTCAGCCTTTAAAATTCTTATGTGTATTGGATTTGTGAGTGAAATCACATACGGTGTCGGAATGATGATAAAGGTACTGCAGGAAAACTAACAGAGGTGTCTTCGCTATTGGCCTGTAGTCCGTTGCAGTCTGGAGTGTTAGTGCCTTGTGCAAAGCCGCAGTCTCTGGTGCTAGTCACCTACACTGCACTGCAGTCTCCGTCTACCGCCGCCGCTGTAGCCGTGCTTCAGCGTCCCGCACCGGCAGCATATCTGCCGGGCAAACTTCATAGCTTCCAACAGATGAGCGCTGCATGAGAAAGCAATAGCCATATTTCATACTGCTTGGCCTGACGCCAGGCTACCGAGACTGTCACGGATACAGGCTATATCGCAGCCGTCTGCAGCCGTGGCATGAGCGCTAACTTAGCATACACAGCGCGGGTGATTGTCTTGCACCTGCAGTCATCCCAACGAGTTGTCTCAGACAGCCGGGGGGATGATGACGGCAGGTGAGTTCATCGGTAGCCGCCTCTTCTCCTTCGTCCACACCCTCCCTTTGCAGACAGACGGCCCATTCCGCGAGCGGACCGCGGTCACCGTGGCGCCGTTCGGTACCGTTTTCGGGCGGAGTCCAGCGGTGGAGCCATTCAGGATGGACGCGGTTGGTTGGCGGTGGTCGACGGGTTCCCAGACTCCCGAGGTGGTCGGCGGCGCTGACTGGCCCGATGTCTATCTAGGAAGGCGGGGTGGCCCGCCGAACGGATGGTCCGATCCGGACCGATTATGGGCCGATTTATCTCAGCGCTGGTCTTGTGGTAGGTCGGCGTCTACCACATGAACCGACGCCGGCTGCGGCCCGCGCCAGGCGCTGCCAACTAGCCACCTGTCGTCATGGCCGTGTCACTGACCTCTCCGTCGGGTCAGACGGTCCACCGCCGAGCGGCCACGCTCCCCAGCGGTCACGCCGGTTCCAGCCGACCCGGCTGACCCTCGGTCACGGACCGGGAACAGCAAACAGCCGGACCATACCGGACCGCAAGGAGACCGCAGTCTCCACGGTCAGTCCACGGCGTCCATTGAAGTCGTGTGACTCACCGACCGGTGACCTGCACTCTGCATACATGACCACTGCATACATTACCGGGAGGGTCTGCACTCTGCACTTAGCAGCGACCGCTGGGTTTTGAACGGTGTTTGAGCGCGTCGCGAGTGTGACATGACGACTAACCGGGGCGTTTGTTCTTTTGCAGGATGGAGAGCGGCCAGTGGGGGAGGTGGCTCCCTCTGCTGGTGCTGCTGGTGGCAGCGGTCGTCCCCGCCCATACAGGTAAGCACGAGCGCCGCTCCGTCCGGCGACGGTGAGCCGATCAGATAGACTGTCGTCAGCGACACTCCGAGCTGTAGCCATTTGTCACCAACAGTTGGCGAGTGCAAACGGCACGATCACGAGAACTTAAATGGGAGGGAGAGCCGAGCGGTGTACTGACGGCAGAGGGGGCACTTCTCCGCAGCGTATCTTCTAAAGGCAAATCCGACCAATTTGCGCAGTCGCACTTTCGTTTTTAAGTGGTTGGGCGGTTGTATCGCATCACGTTCAAAAACTGCAAAGTGCAAAGCATTCAAAACCTTGGAAACTTATCAAAACACCGAAGACAAGCGCGCAGCTAGCCGTCGGTTTTAGCGAGGCCCATTGTCTTCTCTGTCGGTTACAAGGTGAGCCAAGGCCTCGCGCTGCACTGACTGGATCCGGCCTGCAGAGAACAGGCCGCCCATTTCGTATTTCCGCCTCGATTTGATGTGAGAAGATGCGCCGCGCCAGCGCCCAGTTAACGGCTGCGGCGACCTCCATTGCCAGCCCGCGTCAGGTGCTAAACCAAGCATTAAACGTCACCGTTATTAGTTCCGAGTAAATGGACGCTATCAAACTAAATGCCACATCCATTATCGGTAGCTGATGAAAAAACACCAAAAGAACGACTCGTCAGTGGCAAAAACAAGGAGTCGTACTCGCTTCTGGTCACATTCAATAAGAAGCCTCCTAGCCAACGGTCATGTGTGCCGGGTTCAGTTCAGTCCGGCTTACAGTTTACACCGGCTGGTTTGAAAGCGATCCTCCCTGTCCCGCGCCCCTTCTGCAAACCTGCATACGAATGGCGAAGAGGGAGTGGACCGAAGAGGCTCCTCCGCGTCCGCCCGGGGCCGGCCGTGATCTTGACCGACGGCGTCCCGAGTCCCTGACACCGGCGCCGCGGCGCCCGCCGAGGCGGCGACCCCTCGGCCTTGATCCCCGCTCAGAGGGCACATAAATTAGTGGCGGACGGCGCCTCGGCGGTCGGCCGTCTCCGAAAAAGCCAGCCGCCGGGGGAGGGCTCCCGTCCTGCGGCCTCCCGGGGAAGCCGGCCTCCCCGACACACCGGCGGAGGTCCACAGCGGCGATGAATAATGGATCAAAGTGGGCGCCGAGCGGGCCACCGCCGTCCCATCGCGAAGTCCCGGGGAGGTGACTGATGCCGCTATACGGCCGGGTGAAGTGATACCGGGCCCTCTGACAGATATCCAAACACCGCCGCCGCGGCTGAGCGCGTGTTAGGCGCGCGGGCTGTCAGCGAGCTTCACAGATGGACAGGCAGGCCGTGTTTTACCGTCGAGCCGCCACCGAGGCGCGGCTGATGACGCTTCCAGTCCAGTGGATCCCCAACCGAGCAGAAAAAAAAAACACTCGGCTGGGCAGCGCCCGTCACCCGGACGGCAGGGGGCCGTCACAGGGCAGCTTATCGCCCGACAGAAGCGCGTAAAAAGCGCATAGTTGGGCGTTAGTCATGCCGCATAAACGGAAGATGGCCGGCGTGTGATACTGGCCCATTTGATAATCTGGAAATCAGACCCGGTCCGACTCACACATCAAAGACGTGCGAGAGTATTGGATCCCACTTACTTATGCATCAGTTGTAGGTGTGTTCTTGTCTTGTCAAATTGGTTGAGAGTGTCGGGCTTATGCCGTGCAGTACATAGACGTTATCTGTGGGATCTCTTATCTGATATAATCTCACAGGTTAAAATCAACCCATCTGTCGGGGTATATTTCTAAAAACATCTGCATAGCCTAGACGAGTTTCCACAAATCCAATTACGAAACCGGCCTCTTTGACAATCGGCGGATTTCCGGGGATATAATCCGGTTTAGAGTTGAAACAAAACACCTGGGACGATTTATTTGCCGTATATGTATAATTTCATCAGCAAAATAGCATGTGAATAATATCTTATCTTTTATGTTGCTGCATCACTAGATTACTTATGTCTTGATTGACTATTTCACTTCAATGGAATATCGTTACGCTGCCTAACGTGTCAAAAGTGCCGTATCGCATGTCTGTATGATGAGTGTCAGCTAAGCACGACTCTTGAATTTGGTCCACTGTCAAATTACATGCACGTTTACCGTGCCGTGCTAAGTGGTCTACGTGCTGGTAGTTAAATGCAGCCGCCAGGAATCATTACTCAATTGCTTGTTATGAGAAAATCTCCCTAATGACCATAATTAATTTGTTTCAGCACCATTGGAATGGGACGAAGATGAACCAGGTACGTGGTTTGAACTACACAGGCTATGTGCTTCCTGCCAGAACCATTTCAGTTATTTCATTTGCAGTCAGAATCGCGGTGTGTCATTATTGCTCATCACCATCCACGACCGTCCTTCAGCGGACGTAGCGAGCGAGCAGTATAAGTACTTACATAATCGCTCACCGTAATCCACCCGTAGAATTTTGTCACTAACCACTGCCATGCGCTCAAAGAGCCGCTTTACAAGTTCAACGACCGACCGAGTGGGGAGCGCGGCCGCACGACGACCTCTGACCGGTCCGTCTTTTTTCCAGGATGTTTCCACATGATGCAGCACTACAACAACGGCGACCAGATTGTCACTGACGAGCCCTGTCTAAACTGCACCTGCCGGGACAACATGCTCATGTGCTTCCTCAAGGTCTGCCCCTACGTGATGCCGCTCACCAAGGGTTGCACCATGGAGAAGAAGCCCGGCGACTGCTGTGCTACCGTCACTTGCGAACAGGGTGAGTGTAATCTCCGTCACTCTCTAAATCTCCCAGATTTGCTCTATCAGGATCGAGACGGGGTCAGCACTCCTCCTCTCTTCCTTCTTCCTACTAGCTCCCGCTTCTTCCCCACCCCGCGCCGTCACTGTCCGGCCCGTGACGCTGCTCGCCTCGTGACGCCGCTCCCAGGCCGTGACGCGCCTCTCCGTGACGTGACGCGCCTCTCCGTGAAGTCGGCGAGGCCGTCCGTGTTCGGCGCTGCTCGCCGGTGTCAGAATGCGCCTCGTCACAGCGCTACTTCCCGGCCGTGTCTGCTCGGTGTCCGCCCCTTGTCCGTGGCGTGTCCGCGTCTTCCCACGGTGCCGTGGGTCGGTGTCCGCCGTGTCCGCGCCGTGTCCTGACCGTGTCCGTGTCGTCTTGGCTGCCGGAAATGGCTGTCGACGCTGCACGTGCCCGAGCCGGTCGCTGCTCCCGAGCCCTCCGATGCCGGCACCGATACGGTGGTCGGTGCGCGCGCGCCTAAAAGGTGTTTGCGTCGGGCACCGATCAGCACTAACGGTGACCGGTAGAGCGTGATGAAATACCGGCGTCAGTGCGCACACACAAATGACTTGCGTCACTGAGGCCAGGGCGCGCGCGGGCCGTCAAACTCGCACCTCCACGGCGCGCCACAGACAGGAGAACTGGTCAATGCCAGGCGGGCGGCCCCAGACGGATGTGCCGCTGCCAAATACTGGAACCGTGACCGTCCAGTCTCGGCCGGTGGCCACTCTGTTTGCCAAGCGGCGGTCACACCTGTGACTTTGTCCACAATGATGTCACCCGATGCGGCGCGCCGCCGTCCGCCGGGCTGTCCCCATCGGAGCGCGACAGAGGCCGTTTGTCTTTAGTGACATCCCAGCACTCTGCCTCTCCTACACTCTCTCCTCGCTTGCTCTGTCTCTCCTGCGCTCTCCCCCTCGGTGCCCGGCGAGGTCACTGCAGAGCGTCTCCATTCGAGCGGCACCTTTACCAAACCGGACCAGCCGGGTAGGTTAGCGACCGCCGGCAGCGACTGCACCGGCTGGCACTGACATCATGACGCCTGCCGACCGGTCAGCCTGCCGCCCGACCTGCCGACTGCAGCCTGTCACAGCTAGACCTGCCACGCTAGTCCGCGTGCTGCGACAGATTCCTATCTGCCGCCGCGTACAGAGCCCCGGCGCGGCGCCGACTCTGAATACGTCGCCAATGAGGCCTGACGGCGACAGGTGCCGAACATAGCTGGCCGGCGGCGCGGACGGCGCGCCGGGCGGTGACCGGAGCTCGGCACCAGTGTTTGCTCCCGCCCAGAGCGGCCGCTCCGGTCAGCGACCTCCCAGGGCCGCCACACCTGACAGCCAGCTGGGCTGTGTGAGCGGCAGTTAGCACCCCGCTGCCGAGATGGCGACGTTTGAACCAATAGAGCGGCAATGGTTCGAAATTGAACAATGTCCCTTGATGGCCCTGACGGAGAATGCAGGAAGTAACAGCTGCTTGTGCGTCTGGCTGCCAGCGTGTCCACCAAGCTGTTCCAACATCTGAACGTCTGAATTTCTGTTTTATCTCTCCGTCTGTCCGTTTTGCCGCCGGATGTACGAATTTTCTATCGGTCTATCTTGCTGTCCCTGTTTTACGCATGTCTGACAGCTTATCTTTGTCTTTCCAGTGCCCGTACCAATCATGCAGATGCTCGGTATGGCCAACCAGACGGCGCCGACGACTGAGGTACCGCCGACAGCGCTCAGCCCAGTGGGTGCCGACGACGCCGGCTGCCGCGTGGACGGACAATACTACGCCGACGGAGCTCAGGTAGGTACCCCTCCCCTCCCCCGGCTGATGATCGTGTCGGTGAAGTGGACTGACCTCTGGGAGATCCGAGACAGGTGGCGATATCCCGGTCGAGGACACGCCTCGAGGTGTCGACATTACATATACACTGAACTCGCGGCCGAGAGCGATGTAATTTGATGGTCTGATGTGCTGTATAGTAATGAGAGACGACCTGTACGGGCCTCTCGTGCAAGCGGTCCGCGACTCCGCATGTCGTTTGGTCACCGACAGAAGCGTGTCTTGTCTATAGCGGCGTGCAAATCAGTGTCGCCTTTCCGGCCAGCGGTGGTGCGATCGTGTAGTCCTGAGTCAGCCTCCAGTACGTCGAAACTAACAGTGAACCCACCCGAACTCATGTTTAGGAGGAGCACACAACACCCGACCTTCGCTGTACCTACATATATTCAAATCAATGTTTAACGGATCCACTGGGTCTATTTGAATGACCTTCACTTTCGTTGTTTTATGCGAGTCTCTCGCTACCTTGTGTCGCTATACGTCTTCCACAACCAAGAGGTATCGAGGGCTAAGCCGACCCCAAGAACCCTCCCACCGGAAGACAAGCATGAGTGACCCGAGTCGATAAGTCACCAAAACCAACCAGCCTGTGACCTGGTCCTTGAACTGACCCGAGACCCGGTCCACGACCTGACCTCTAACCTGTCACCACCCACAGGTACCGAGTGACCCGAACGAGCCGTGTGACGTCTGCTACTGCATCCGGAACCACACCGCCTGTGTGCAGCAGGAGTGCACGATGCGCGTGCCCGGCTGTCAGCCCGTGTACGAGGAGGGAATCTGCTGTCCGACGCGATACGTCTGCGGTGAGTCGGCGATCGCGGCGCCACCTGTCGTAATCATCAGCGCTAGCGACATCTGTGATCGTTCGCTTCAGCATGGTGTACCCAAGGGATCGATTCTTGCGGTCTCCTTTTTTTATATGATCATTCATGAATTGAATTGAGCTTGTAATTGAGGTAGCAGACTGACGAAATCTGTGTTTTCAGACTACGAGACGACCACGCTGCCACCGATCACCACTATGAGGCCCGAACTGGGAGCTGCCGGTTGTATGGTGAACGGCGTCTTCTACGAGGATGGTGACCAGGTGAGCTTCAGCCACGGAACAAGCAGAAGCTGTAGGGAAGCCCGAAAGCACTGATTAGTGTATATGAAATGATCTCTGTCGCCAAAGTCAGTAAAGCCAATGTATGGGTTTCCAATGCAATAATAAATGTAGGGTAGTGGCTCCAAGAAGCCAGTTTCCATGGAGTACTTAATGACTGCAAATTGAGGTGCAACCATTTTGCTGGTCCCTTTATATCTACCCTTCCCCCTCTCTCGGCTGACCAGACTGCCCTCCCGGTTCGCAGATTGCCTCGGAGGACCCGTGCTCGCACTGCTACTGCATGCACTCGGAGGTGAAGTGTGCCATCCAGGACTGCGCCTCGCCACTGGACAGCGCCCACTCCCAGTGCAGGCCCGTGCCGCCCCCGCCCGGCCAGTGCTGCCCCGACCAGTACACCTGTGGTGAGTACTTATTGAAGGATACCTTCCCTTCGCTGAAACGATCCATATGAACACATATGTACACTACTATACATGAATACAACCCACCGCCGGAACTCAACGATGACGGCACTCCGACACATGATATTTGATGATGAGCTTTGAGGCAATAGATAAGACGACTATTTTCGGTGTATATGCACCAGCATGACAAGACATTATTTGAAGGCACGTGGCTGTCTACCAATGATTCAAACACAAATCCTAACACCTCCCAACTGTTCATCTCATGTTTCTACATTCTTCGTCTTCGACGATGCCAACTAGAACACATTCTTCTCTACTGTGTATAATCTCAGCTCACCCTGTAGTTGGGTCAACTTGCCCGCTGCTTTCAGGCACCGTCTCCCGTCATGTACAGATACAGGGCAGAAGGGTCGGCACAGTTGACCTCCTGCCAGCACACGGTAAACTCTGGCCCGTGTCTATCGGTAGCACTTTCCAGTGGGCGCTGGAGTTTCACGGCACCGCCGCATGCTCCCTCACTGCACCCTGGCTCGACGCACCATCACACTGCACCGATTGCTCACTTTACGAAACATGAGGAATGCGATTGTGTCTGAATGAGATTCGAGCAAACCTACCACCTGTTCTTGTTACCCTTCTTCTAAAGGGGATGTTAATGAATTACAAGCGACTTTGCCAGCCTATAAAAGCGAATCAATGGAGCAGAGTGCATGGATTTCGTGGTAACATGAATACATTGAGATCATTTTAAGGTCATTGTTACTCTGGCGCATTATGAGCGTCGAGCGACATTTGACATAAATTGCAAGCTTTTGAACCATGACATTCAAATGCAGATAAACAAATAATAACTGTTCTCACCAACCATTAAAAAAGCCGCACTAAAAACATAGACTATAACTTTCATGATGATTATGAGAAGGTCACCATCCCTGCGCATCTAGCATGCTTAGCGTTCATATGCAATCATTTGTCACACGTCTGATGGCTGTTTTCTGTTGTCAGGTGGTGCGGAAGAAAGTTTCGTGCCTGCCATCGGCGACCAGACAGCACCAGTGAAACCTGAAGAGGGCAGCACCGTCGGTGAGGCTGCTCCGGGCGCTGAGACAACCGACCCGGCAGCAGATGGCACCACTACTGCGCCTGCAGATGGGACCACTGCTGAACCTGCAGATGGCACTACTTCCGCCGCTATCGATACGACTACCGCAGCTTCCACTGACGGTTACACAGTGACTCCAACTCCCCAGGAGGGGTACGAGCCCGTTCAGCCGGCCGCAACGGAGGATGACTCGCCAGCTACCGACGACGAAGTCGAGTCTAGCGGTGAGCAGCCCGCGTCTGATGGCCAGGAACCGACCGAAGTCCAGATCCTCGACGGGGAGACTCCTTCCGAGACCGGAGAGTCCGGCCAGGAGCCCCAGGGTCCTGTTGATGGCAGCGGTGACGTAACTGATGACGAGGTTTCGCCCATTAAGCCTGGCGACGTGATCGTCGAGATCCCTGAGACGGTCCCTGGACCTGAAGGCAGCGGCGAAGTCACCAGTGACGAAGACTCTCAGGTAGGACCTGGTGATGAGACTGCTGAGGTCCCCGAAAATGCCCCTGGAGCTGAAGGAAGCGGTGAGGCAGCTGATGATGACGTTTCTCCCATTAAACCTGGCGATGTGATTGTCGAACTCCCGGAGACAGTTCCTGGACCTGAAGGCAGTGGAGATGTGGTCGGCGACGACGACACTCCGGCAGAACCTGATGAAGTGGCTGTCGAAGTTCCGGAGGCCAGCGGTAACGGTCCCACTGAAGATGAAGTAACCGAGGTTGATGAAGTCCTGGGACAAGGAGAGGGCGAAGAGCCTGTTGCACCCGTCACAGCTCCGGGTCAGGATCCTGCAGAGCCTGCACCGGGGGCCGAAGAGGCAGTCGAGCCTGAAGGCTCTGGCATCGCTGACGCTGCCGGAGAGGAGGCAGTAGCTGAAGGCCCAGCAGTAGTGACCATCCCCGAAACCGAGGTGACCGAGGGAGAGCCAACGGAACCTGAACCGGTTGAAGGAAGTGGAGATGACGCGACCAAGCCAGACACTGATGACACTGTCGCTCCAGGTACTTACCCAACCGAGCCGGAGACTGCAGAGCCTGCTGGGGAGACGGCCGGCAGTGAATCAGCTCAGGACGGAGTTGAGGGTGTCACCACGCCCGAAGTTCCCGATGAAACGTCCCCTGACGGTGGCATCATTGAAGAGGCTTCTGGCGACGCCCCGGATGCTGCTACTCCTGAGGATGAAGAGCCGCAGAAGCCTGTTGATGATGGCACCGAAGATGGTGCCCCGGACAGCCAGATCACCGCGGAGGCTTCTGGTCAGGTATCTGATGCCGATTCTCCAGACCAGGTTATCACAGACGAGGGGACCGCCGAGGCGCCTGACGCTGAAGTTCCTGTGATAGATACTGCAGAAGAGGCGTCTGGAGCTGTTGACGATGCTGCCGACATCACTGGCGACGATGAGGTCGAGGAGTCTTCTGGTCTCGCGCCAGGTGACACTCCTAGCATTGAGTCCACTGACAAGCCTGTGCCCGACGCCGACGAGGCAGCCACCCCCGGCGCCGAGGTGAACGAGCCTTCGGCAGTGGAGATCCCCGACGCTGCTACTCCAGAGGATGGAGTCACTGACCCCACAGATGTTCCCACCGGCACCGAGGAGGAACAGGCTCCGGAGACCGCCAAGCCTACGGATCAGACCACAGAGGTTGGTGAAGAGGAGGGCTCCGGTGACGATCTGATCGCCGCGACTGAGGCTGGCGGATACATCCCGGGTGGTCCTCCCTCCGCGCCGCTGCCGGGACCAACCGGCATCACCACTGAGCAGCCTGAGGAAGGCGACCAGGTCGACCAGACCGACGCAGAAGATAAGGAAGATGGCCCTACCGTCGAAGGTGAGATGCAGTGGAAAATTTGAAGACATTGATTATCCCTCTACAAGCTAAAAATGATCTTCATTTAGTGCTGTTCTTGTTCTATTACGATCATTATTATGCAAGTTCATTTTTATTTTTATTCTATTTCTAAGAAAGTGAAACCACTACTGGGAATTCAAAGCGAAATGTTGTTATGACGTATTGTAAAGGTGTTGTTTTAAAGGTTGTAAAGGTGCTTGTGCTGAAGCATTGTTATTGACAGCATTGGTCTCTGCTTTCAGTTGTGTCCACGGACACTCCCGCCGCTGCGGTGCCTGAAGCCGAATCGCAAACGACCGTCGACGCCCCGGAGGTTGATGAGGTCAAACCGACTGGCGGTGACTCCTACCAGCCGGAGCAGGATCCCAGCACCGGAACGACCGAGGCCCCCGCATCCCCTGCCATCCAGCCAGACACGGTCACCGATTCACCCGGCGCTGAGAGCGAGCCTCAGGTGGAAGGCTCTGGAACCAGTGACGACGGATCTGCACCCGATGAGAAGCCATCCGAAGATGGCCAAGAGCCTGCACCTGTTACGGAAGAGGGCGGTAGCACCCCTGAGTATGTCACTGTGACAGACTCGGATCCGTCAGAGCCCGAGGGTTCTGGAGAAGATACTGCTATGACACCAGGTTCGGGACAAACAGATGATGTGGATGATGCTATATTCCCTGGTCTGTTTGACCCCGAGGGTTCTGGTGATCAAGGTACCACGGACGAGGCTTCAACTCCTGGCACTGATATGCAGACTCCAGAGGAGCCCCTAATGGATGGCTCTGGAGCACCTGCTCCCGCGGAGACGGAGAAACCCAGTGGACAGGATGCTCCTGGCTCTGAGACCGGCGAAGCAGCTGACGACACAGTTGATGTCGTCGATCCAGACACTGCTGAGCCTGAAGGCTCCGGCACTCAGGATGAAGCTGAAAACCCCGAAGAGCCTGCATCCCCAGTTGTTCTCCCTGAGGGCTCTGGAGAACAGGACAGCGTGGAGCCAGCCTCGGAGACTATCGAGGGAGCCATTGATATTTCTCCGCAACCTGACTCCGAATTCGACCAGGTGGCTGGAGCCGGAAATGAGCTGGATAGTGACAAGCCGACGGGAAGCATTTCCACTCCTGAAACTCAGCCGGACGCGACAGCTATCGAGGCCTCCGGAGATGGTGAGATGATTCCTCCTGAAGATGACAAGGAGCCCGTTACAGATACTGCAGCGCAGGTAGACCAATATCCTGGAGAACCAAATTTGATCCCTGGCACTGATGACGAAGCCTCTCCTGTCGAGGGATCTGGCGCCGAAGAATCACTGGTTCCTGGATCAGAACAGGATCAGGATATTGTCGATGTGCCTACACCTGGCGAAGGTGAGACTATCGTACCTGTGGACAGCCAAATGCCTGAAGCTGACGCTCCTGTTGAGGGATCAGGCATGGAACAGCCCCAGGCTCCGGGATCTGAGCAGGACCCAGCCTCTGTTGGTGAGCCCTCGTCAGAAGAAACCGTGTATCCCTTGCCTTCCGACGGCCAGGCGCCTGGAAGCGATGCCACCATTGAGGGATCTGGCAATGACGAGGACACCCCGCAAGACGCTGGCACCAATCCTGACGAGGTCGAGATCTCTGAGCAGCCTACAGCTACAACCACCGAGAGCCCCAGCACAGCCGCTAATGGTGAAGCTGAGACGACACCTAGTCAGGCGACAGACTCCAACTACCCTACCAACGCACCAAGTAGCACCATCGAGGAGGACCTGATCGACGCGCTCAGCGATGAGCTTGGACTCGGATCCGGCGACAGTGATCCGGATTCCTCCGGAGATCAGCTTTTCCCCATTGATGGCAGTCAACCGGTCAGCGTTGAGGTAGATGAGAAACCACAAGGGAGCACGGACGACGAAGCTGCGCCAGTCACAGACATGGTCGAAGGGTCTGGGCAGCCAGAGGAGCAGACAGATGGACAGGAAAAGCCCATCAACGACGAAACTACTGAAGCTATCGAGGGGTCAGGAGATCTGGCACCAGGTGCCGAGCAGGATGCGGGCACTCAGCCTACAACTGGTGACGGCGATTCAGTCGTCACCATCCCTGACGATCAGTCTCCGGAGTCAGCTATCACTGGAACCGGCACTGACGATGGCATCACGGAGCCCACTGAAGAGGGTGATGATAAGCCAACGGAGCCTGCCGCTGGTTACGAGCCCGAGGGTACTGATGAGCTGACGACTGAGGGAAGTGGAGCGATCATTCAGGATGGTGAAGATTTGACCGAAGGATCTGGTGAAGAGGTCATCGAAGGTGTCGACCAGCCCACGGAGCTTGCTGCCCAGGGTGAGGATAAGCCCACTAAGCCTGCTGCTGATGGCGATGACGAACCAACCGAGCCTACAGTCGAGGGCGAGGACAAGCCCACGGAGCCTGCTGCTGAGGGCGAAGATAAACCTACGGAGCCTGCCACTGATTACATACCTGAAGTGACTGATGAACAGACGACCGAGGGCAGTGGTGCAGTAGCTCAGAATGACGATACCTTGCCTGAGGGGTCTGGTGACGAGGTTTTCGAGGGAGCTGACCAGCCCACGGAGCCTGTTGTCGAGGGTGAGAACAAGCCCACGGAGCCTGCGGTGGAGGGCGAGGACAAGCCAGCGGAGCCTGCTGCCGAGGGTGAGGACAAGCCCAAGGAGCCGGCGGTCGAGGGCGAAGACAAGCCAACGGAGCCTACCACTGGTTATGAACCTGAGGTTTCTGACGGGCTGACGACTGAGGGCAGTGGTGCGGTTGCTCAGGATGGAGACGACTTGACGGAGGGATCCGGTGAAGAGGTTGCCGAGGGCGTAGACCAGCCCACGGAGCCTGCTGTCGAGGGTGAGGACAAGCCTGCCGAGCCTGCTGTCGAGGGCGAGGACAAGCCCACGGAGCCTGCTGTCGAGGGTGAGGACAAGCCCACGGAGCCAGCTGCTGATGGCGAGGACCAGCCAAAGGAGCCTGCCACTGGTTACGAACCTGAAGTTACTGATGACCTGACGGCTGAGGGCAGCGGTGCTGTTGTTCAGGATGGCGATACCTTGCCTGAGGGATCTGGTGAAGAGGCTGTCGAGGGCGTCGACCAGCCCACGGAGCCTGCTGCCGAGGGTGAGGACAAGCCAACGGAGCCAGCTGTCGAGGGCGACAACAAGCCCACTGAGCCAGCTGCTGATGGCGAGGACAAGCCAACGGAGCCTGCCACTGGTTACGAACCTGACGTTACTGATGATCTGACGACGGAGGGCAGCGGTGCTGTTGTTCAGGATGGCGATACCTTGCCCGAGGGATCTGGTGAAGAGGTTGTCGAGGGCGTGGACCAGCCCAAGGAGCCTGCTGTCGAGGGTGAAGACAAGCCAACGGAGCCAGCTGTCGAGGGCGACGACAAGCCCACTGAGCCAGCTGCTGATGGCGAGGACAAGCCAACGGAGCCTGCCACTGGTTACGAACCTGACGTTACCGATAATCTGACGACTGAGGGCAGCGGTGCTGTTGTTCAGGATGGCGATACCTTGCCCGAGGGATCTGGTGAAGAGGTTGTCGAGGGCGTGGACCAGCCCACGAAGCCTGCTGTCGAGGGTGAGGACAAGCCAACGGAGCCAGCTGTCGAGGGCGACGACAAGCCCACTGAGCCAGCTGCTGATGGCGAGGACAAGCCAACGGAGCCTGCCACTGGTTACGAACCTGACGTTACTGATGATCTGACGACTGAGGGCAGCGGTGCTGTTGTTCAGGATGGCGATACCTTGCCCGAGGGATCTGGTGAAGAGGTTGTCGAGGGCGTGGACCAGCCCACGAAGCCTGCTGTCGAGGGTGAAGACAAGCCCACAGAGCCTGCTGTCGAGGGTGACGACAAGCCAACGGAGCCTGCTGTCGAGGGCGACGACAAGCCCACTGAGCCAGCTGCTGATGGCGAGGACAAGCCAACGGAGCCGGCCACTGGTTACGAGCCTGAAGTTACTGATGAACTGACAACTGAGGGCAGTGGTGCGGTTGCCCAGGATGGCGACGACTTGACCGAGGGATCCGGTGAAGAGGTTTCCGAGGGCGTAGACCAGCCCACGGAGCCTGCTGTCGAGGGTGAGGACAAGCCTGCCGAGCCTGCTGTCGAGGGCGAGGACAAGCCCACTGAGCCAGCTGCTGATGGCGAGGACAAGCCAACAGAGCCTGCCACTGGCTACGAACCTGACGTTACTGATGATCTGACGCCTGAGGGCAGCGGTGCAGTTGTTCAGGATGGTGACACCTTGCCCGAGGGATCTGGTGAAGAGGTTATCGAGGGCGTAGACCAGCCCACGGAGCCTGCTGTCGAGGGTGAGGACAAGCCTGCGGAGCCTGCTGTCGAGGGCGAGGACAAGCCCACTGAGCCAGCTGCGGATGGCGAGGACAAGCCAACGGAGCCTGCCACTGGTTACGAACCTGACGTTACTGATGACCTGACGACTGAGGGCAGCGGTGCTGCTGTTCAGGATGGCGATACCTTGCCCGAGGGATCTGGTGAAGAGGTTGTCGAGGGCGTGGACCAGCCCACGGAGCCTGCTGTCGAGGGTGAGGACAAGCCAACGGATCCTGCTGCTGATGGTGTAGCAAGTCCTGCTGAGCCAACCACTGACACTCAGACCTATCCTGAAGCTGATGGAACCACCTCTACTCCTGTCACTGATGGCAGCAGTGACTCCCTCGAGCCGGAGACTCCCGCTCCGGGTGCCGAGCCGACCGACTCGACGCCCGTCGAGCAGATGACGGCCGTATTCCCCGAGACACCACAGCCTAGTCCCCCGGAGAGCGACAGTCAGACGATGGCCGAAGACAAGGTCGACGGTCCCGGAGTGCCCGGCGAGGGCTCCTGTCTGATCGACGGAGTGTCGTACGGCTCGGGCGACTCGGTGCCCACTACCAGCCGGTGTCAGATCAGCTGCAACTGCTCCAACTCCGTGGTTCAGTGCGAGACTCGCCGCTGCCCGGTGGCGCCGGAGGGCAACTGCAGGCCGTACTACACCCAGGGAGCCTGCTGCCCTGCCTACGACTGTGGTAAGTGATGCTTTCTCACCAGTTAGGTAATGAGCTTGTCGCGGCATATCTTCTTCTGTTAAGATAAACGTACATTTCTTTCTTTTGAAAACGTTTTATGTGTGGAAACGCCGATCACCATATTGGAAAAACCTGCGTTTAAATATCATCAGATTTTTGTCCCAATGGTAGTTATATCATGACCATAAGTAAAGACACTGAAGTCACAAGATTCTTATAAGTTGACTGTCCCTTTTCAATTGCAGATGCGGGTTCGACCACGCCTGGGCCGGTCACCCTCCAGTGCTACCTGGACGGCGAGATTCATGACGAGGGCGCCGTCATCCCGCACCCGGATGTGTGCAAGTACTGTCTGTGCCTGAGCGGCGAGGTGGTCTGCGCCACTGAAGTGTGCCGCGTACCTGCCGAGCTGGAAGGCATGGACTGCAGACCGCTGCCAGCCAAGGACGGCCAGTGCTGCGCTTCCGAGTACTCTTGCGGTAAGTAATTATTTGAAATTGGGAAACAGAAATGAGTTGACTTATTTTTACTAATGATGTCATAATGTGACTTTGTGATTAAATCAAGTGACAGTTGTCTCTATGCTTAACCATAGTTACATGCACAAAACCATAAAACCCTATCACTGAGAGCAATCCAACTTAAGAACTCTGTTTGACATCTAGCGTTAAAAAATCATCTCCCATATCATATTCTTGTTGTGACCGAGTCGTTCTGTCGTTCCAGACATCTCCGTCCTGCAGACGCTGAACCTGACGACCACCGAGGTTCCTCCGACGATTGATGAGGCCGGCTCTGTGGTGGTGACAACCGAGAGACCAGGTGGCGCCATAGTCGGAGTAACCACGGAGACCACCGACCAGGCCGAGGGCACCACAGAAGTACCGACTGACGAGCAACAGGAAAACACCGCAGCTACCAGCGGCGTACAGGAGGGAGGATACCCAACGCCCTCTGGCCAACAGCCTTCTGAAGATGCCAGTGGCGATCCCGAAGGAAGTGGAGAGTCCACCGAAGAGGCTGTCCTACCCAGCAATGAGGAGGACACTAAACCGACTGAGGGTTCCGTAGCCGGTGAAGCACCTGTGCCGGAGGAACAAGATATGTCCACAGATTCTGCTGTTGATGTTGAGGACAGACCAATCGAGTCCGCTGTCCAGGGCGAGGAGCCCACAGAGCCTGCTGTTGACGGTGAGGACAACCCCACAGTGTCTGCTTCTGATGGAGATGACAAACCCACAGAGCCAGTCACTGGTTACGAGCCTGAGGTTACTGATGAGCTGACGACTGAGGGCAGTGGTGCAGCTGCTCAGGATGGTGACACCTTGCCAGAGGGATCTGGTGAAGAGGTTGTCGAAGGTGTTTCCCAGGAACCAGAGCCAGTTGCTGAGGGTGAGGACCAGTCTACAGAGCCTGCTGTCGAGGGTGAAGACAAGCCCACGGAGCCTGCTGCTGATGGCGAGGACCAGCCCACGCAGCCTGCTGCTGAGGGCGAGGACAAGCCCACGGAACCTGTCACTGGTTACGAACCTGAGGTTAATGATGAACTGACGACCGAGGGCAGCGGTGCGGCTGCTCAGGATGGCGATGCCTTGCCCGAGGGATCTGGTGAGGAGGTTGTCGAGGGTGTTGACCAGCCTACTGAGCCTGCTGCTGATGGCGAGGACAAGCCCACCGAGCCTGCAGTCGAGGGTGGTGACCAGTCCACAGAGCCTGCTGTCGAGGGCGAGGACAAGCCTGCCGAGCCTGCTGTCGAGGGCGATGACAAGCCCACTGAGCCAGCTGCTGATGAGGAGGATAAGCCAACGGAACCTGCCACTGGTGGCGAACCTGAGGTTACTGATGAACTGACGACTGAAGGCAGTGGTGCAGTTGCTCAGGATGACGACGACTTGACCGAGGGATCTGGCGAAGAGGTCGTCGAAGGCGTGGACCAGCCCACCGAGCCTGCTGTCGAGGGTGAGGACAAGCCTACGGAGCCTGTTGCCGAGGGCGAGGACAAGCCCACGGAGCCTGCTGCTGAGGGTGACAAGCCCACAGAGCCTGCTGCTGAGGGTGACAAGCCTACTGAGCCTGCTGCTGATGGCGAGGACCAGCCCACGCAGCCTGCTGCTGAGGGCGAGGACAAGCCCACGGCGCCTGTCACTGGTTACGAACCTGAGGTTACTGATGAACTGACGACCGACGGCAGTGGTGCCGCTGCTCAGGATGGCGACAACCTGCCTCAGGGATCTGGTGAAGAGGTTATCGAGGGCGTGGACCAGCCCACGGAGCCTGCTGCTGATGGCGAGGACAAGCCCACCGAGCCTGCTGTCGAGGGTGAGGAAAAGCCTACGCAACCTGCTGCTGATGGCGAGGACAAGCCAACGGAGCTGGACACAGGTTACGAACCTGAGGCTACTGATGAACTGACGACTGAGGGCAGTGGTGCGGTTGCTCAGGATGGCGATACCTTGCCCGAGGGATCTGGTGAGGAGGATGTCGAGGGCGTCGACCAGCCCACGGAGCCGGCTGTCGAGGGTGAGGACAAGCCTACGGAGTCTGTTGCCGAGGGCGAGGACAAGCCCACGGAGCCTGGTGCTGAGGGTGACAACCCTACTGAGCCTGCTGCTGATGGCGAGGACAAGCCCACAGAGCCTGTCACTGGTTACGAACCTGAGGTTACTGATGAACTGACGACCGAGGGCAGTGGTGCGGCTGCTCAGGATGGCGACAACCTGCCTGAGGGATCTGGTGAAGAGGTTATCGAGGGTGTTGACCAGCCTCCTGAAACTGCTGCTGATGGCGAGTACAGGCCTACCGAGCCTGCAGTCGAGGGTAGTGACCAGCCCACGGATCCTGCTGTCGAGGGCGAGGAAAAGCCCACGGAGCCTGCCGCTGGTGGCGAGGACAAGCCCACGCAGCCTGCCACTGGTTACGAACCTGAGGTTACTGATGAATCGACGACTGAAGGCAGTGGTGCAGTTGCTCAGGATGATGATGACATGACTGAGGGATCTGGCGAAGAGGTTGTCGAAGGCGTGGACCAGCCCACCGAGCCTGCTGTCGAGGGTGAGGACAAGCCTACGGAGCCTGTTGCCGAGGGCGAGGACAAGCCAACGGAGCCTGCTGCTGAGGGTGACAAGCCCACAGAGCCTGCTGCTGAGGGTGATTACAAACCTACTGAGACTGCTGCTGATGGCGAGGACCAGCCCACGCAGCCTGATGCTGAGGGCGAGGACAAGCCCACGGAGCCTGTCACTGGTTACGAGCCTGAGGCTACTGATGAACTGACGACCGAGGGCAGTGGTGCGGCTGCTCAGGATGGCGACAACCTGCCTGAGGAATCTGTTGAAGAGGTTATCGAGGGTGTTGATCAGCCTAGTGAGCCTGCTGCTGATGGCGAGGACAAGCCCACGGAGCCTGCTGCTGAGGGCGAGGACAAGCCCACGGAGCCTGTCACTGGTTACGAACCTGAGGTTACTGATGAACTGACGACCGAGGGCAGTGGTGCGGCTGCTCAGGATGGCGACAACCTGCCTGAGGGATCTGGTGAAGAGGATATCGAGGGTGTTGACCAGCCTCCTGAGCCTGCTGCTGATGGCGAGGACAAGCCTACCGAGCCTGCAGTGGAGGGTGTTGAACAGCCGGTGGAGCCTGCTATCGAGGGCGAGGACAAGCCCACGGAGCCTGCTGCTGGTGGCGAGGACAAGCCTACGGAGCCTGTCACTGGTTACGAACCTGAGGTTACTGATGAACTGACGACTGAGGGCAGTGGTGCGGTTTCTCAGGATGGCGACACGTTGCCAGAGGGATCTGGTGTAGAGACTGTCGAAGGCGAAGCCCAGCCCACGGCGGCTGCTGCCGAGGGTGACGACAAACCCACGGTGCCTGCTGCCGAGGGTGACGACAAGCCCACGGAACCTGCCGCTGAGGGTGACGACAAACCCACGGTGCCTGCTGCCGAGGGTGACGACAAGCCCACGGAACCTGCTGCTGAGGGTGATGACCAGCCCACGGAGCCTGCTGTCGAGGGCGTGAGTGAGCCCACGGAGCCTGCTGCTGATGGTGAGGACAAGCCCATTGAGCCTGCTGCTGAGGGTGTTGACCAGCCCACGGAGCCTGCTGTCGAGGGTGTGAGCGAGCCCACGGAGCCTGCTGCTGATGGTGAGGATAAGCCCATTGAGCCCGTGACTGAGGGTGAGAAACCCACAGAGCCTGCTGTCGACGGCGAGGACTCAGTGGTGCCTGTCGATGCTGACGCTGGTAAGGAGACTCCCTCCAGCGCGGGCGTCATTCCTGGCGCTGAGACCCCCACTGTTGTTGTGGTTTCAACCCAGGAAGGAGAGAAGCCCCCAGCTCCAGAAAGCTCTTCTTCTGTCATGGAGGGTTCAGACACACAAGAAGTTGGCGAAGCTGGTATTACCGATGGCGAGACCGGCCCAACCACCACCACTACCACCACTGATGTGACATCGGAGACTTCAGATGGATCTGACAGCCAGCAAGGTCCCCTTTATCCTTCTATCACGACAACTGAGGTCACTTCAGATTCTTCTGTGGGACCTGATGCCCAGCCTGTGCCCGGATACCCAACAACCACTACTACAGATGTGACATCAGAGACCTCAGAAGGACCCGATAGTCAGCCTGGTTCTGAGGGCCCCATCACGACGACGACCACGACTTCTACCACCGATGAACAGACCAGCTCGCCGAAGCCGGTCAGCATCGACCAGCTGATCCTGTTCCCAGGCACGACGGTCGTTGTAACCACCACGTCCACCGTGAGCTCCAAGACCAAGCCGGGCCCGAGCGTCACCGGATACATCACCGTTCTCTCCACCACCACAGTGAGCGAGACACTCGTCATGTACCCTGACGGTCGGAACGCTACAGGCTCGTCGGCGCCCACGACCAACACCGAGGCGCGACCGGCCACGCCGTCCGAGATTGCCGCTCTGGATGCTGGTTTCGTGACCCCCGACTCGTCGGGTACGATCGTGGTTACTAGCGTGACCGGTCCTAACGGAGAGATCACGAGTACCACCGAGACTAGCGGCGACCCGGCCGTCGTTGCCATGATGATGGCTTCTGGAATCGGTGTTGACACCGGATCGGTAAGACCGGTCACGGTGACCACCACGGAGGAGGAGCAAGTGCCCTGCAGCGGCGCTCAGTGCCCGCCATCAACCACTACAACCACCACTGAGGTAACCGAGTCAGTTGATCCCGTCTCTGGAGAAGGTCGCCCGTCCACCACCGTCGCTGAGGCTGACGCCACTGAAACGGTTAGCCCAGGAGCCGAGGAGATCGACCCTACCACCACAACCACGACTACGACCACGACCACCGGCTCGGAGACGTCCACTGCGCAGAGTCCCATCACCCTGGTGATCATCCCAGGCCTTCGGGTGGTGGAGACCTATACCTCAACCGTGCATACCGTCACTAAGCCGGGCGCCGCGATCGCAAACTTCATCACCGTCATCTCCACTACCACCGTGGTCAACACGTTCGTGATGTATCCCGACGGCCAGAATAAGTCGACCACGAGTCAGTCGGAGTCGACCGGCTTCCGCCCTGCGCAGCCCACCGAAATTGTCGATTACAACAACGGGATCAAGATCCCCGACACTTCTGCCACCATTGTGGTCATCACTGTTACTGGCCCCGATGGCAAGAACACCACCTCGGTCGAGAAGAGCGGAAACCCTGATGTTCTGATGATGATGATGGCTCAGGGCATCGGCGTAGTCGGCACTGAGGGTGTAGCGGCTGACGGCAGTGAGCCTGTGACCGGCACAGAGACTTCTCAGACCGATGGAACCGACGCAACCAGCACCACCACTACCACAGACGTTACCACCGGTGAGGCTCTGCCTTGCTCCGGCGCTTCGTGCCCAGGAGCTTCGACAACCACCACCACGACCACCGATACCGAGACCTCTACGGTCGATGGAGGCTTTGTTGTGATCCCCGGCCTGACTGTCGTTGAGACAACCACCAGCACGGTCAGCAGCGTTACCCAGCCGGGAGACAGCGCCTCCGGCTACGTGACACTTATCACCACCGTCACAGTGGTGGAGACCTTCGTCATGTATCCTGACGGCAAGAACACGACCAAGACGGCCACCACGACCTCCAAGGGCATCCGTCCCGCTCTGCCGGCCGAAATTAGCGGTTACAACAACGGTGCTACCATCCCAGATACCTCTGCTACCATCGTTGTCACCACCGTCACTGGCCCCGATGGCAAGAACACCACCTCGGTCGAGAAGAGCGGACACCCTGATGTTCTGATGATGATGATGGCTCAAGGCATCGGCGTAGTCGGTACCGAGGGTGTCGTGGCTGACGGCAGTGAGCCTGTGACCGGTACAGAGACTTCTCAGGCCGATGGAGCGGATACCACGACCACCACTACCACAGATGTTACCACCGGTGAGGCCGTGCCTTGCTCCGGCGCTTCGTGCCCAGGGGATTCGACAACCACCACCACGAGCACCGATACCGAGACCTCTACAGTCGATGGAGGCTTTGTTGTGATCCCCGGCCTGACTGTCGTTGAGACAACCACCAGCACGGTCAGCAGCGTCACCCAGCCGGGAGACAGCGCCTCTGGCTACGTGACACTTATCACCACCGTCACAGTGGTGGAGACCTTCGTCATGTATCCTGACGGCAAGAATACGACCAAGACGGCCACCACGACCTCCAAGGGCATTCGTCCCGCTCTGCCGGCCGAAATTACCGGTTACAACAACGGCGCTACTATTCCCGACACTTCTGCCACCATTGTGGTCACCACTGTCACCGGAGACGACGGCAAGAACACCACCTCTAGCCAGTCCAGCGGCGACCCCGACGTCCTGGCTATGATGCTTGCTCAGGGCATCGGAGCTGGCGCTGGCGTGGTTCCTGCGGCTGACGGCAGCGAAACGCAGACAAGCTCGGAGACTTCTGGAACTGACGGTTCCACGACCACGACTACCACAACCACCGAAAGTGGTCTGGTCGTCATTCCGGGTCTCAGGGTGGTTGTGACGACCACTACCACTATCAACACGGTCACCCAGCCGGGAGACAGCGCCTCTGGCTACGTCACTCTTATCACCACCGTCACGGTCGTCAACACCTTCGTGATGTATCCGAACGGCAAGAACACTTCCACCACAGCCACCACCACCTCCAAGGGAATCCGCCCGGCTCTGCCTGCCGAAATCATCAAGGTGAACGCCGGCTATGTCATCCCTGACACCTCCGCCACCATCGTGGTGACCACTGTCACTGGCCCTGATGGCAAGAACACCACCTCGGTCGAGAAGAGCGGAAACCCTGATGTTCTGATGATGATGATGGCTCAGGGCATCGGCGTGGTTGGCACCCAGGGTGTCGTTGCTGACGGAGGTGTTCCCCAGACTGGTACCGAGATCGCTCAGGCTGATGGAGCTGATGCTGCCGTCTCAGAGGAAGTGGCTGGGACTGGAACTTCGACTACCACTGGAGGAGAAGGCATCGGCCAGACTGGAACTGAAACCTCCAGCACCACGACCACTACTGGCGAGGGCGGTCTGGAGTTCATTCCCGGCCTGACTGTCGTTGAGACAACCACCAGCACGGTCAGCAGCGTCACCCAGCCGGGAGACAGCGCCTCCGGCTACGTGACGCTTATCACCACCGTCACGGTGGTGGAGACCTTCGTCATGTATCCTGACGGCAAGAACACGACCAAGACGGCCACCACGACCTCGAAGGGCATCCGTCCCGCTCTGCCGGCCGAAATTACCGGTTACAACAACGGCGCTACCATTCCGGACACCTCAGCCACCATCATCGTCACAACAATCACCGGACCTGATGGCAAGAACACCACCTCGGTGGCGAAGAGCGGCGACCCAGCTGTGCTCGCCACGCTGATGGCGGCCGGTGTTGGAGGAGGCTCTCAGATGATCTCCGTCACGGACGAAGTGATCGACATGCTCGAGCACGGCGGCCAAGAGGCCATCGACAGCACTTCTGACATCACCGACGAAGAGGTCACTGCTCCTGTGGACGGCACTCAGGTCGCTGCCGACCCAAGCGAAGAGGTTAACACCACGACCACCACCACGACCACCACGGAGGCACCTGTTGCCGTTCCTGACACCTCATCCGGCTCAGGGTCCGGGTACGACACCGGGGTGCCGGCTACCGGCGGATACGTCCCCGGCGCCGGTCAGAACGCCTCCACGTCAACGTCCACCTCCACATCCTCAACGCAGACGACCAACGTCTTCTTAGGCCCGGGCGCCTGTCTGTTTGACGGCAAGGTGTACGTCTCGGCGCAGCAGATCCCGCGCGACAACCCGTGCGACTTCTGCTTCTGCTTCCGCGGCGACATCATCTGCCTGCAGCAGTCGTGTCCGCCGCCGGTGGCCGGCTGCATCGAGCAGCCCATCGACGGCTTCTGCTGCCCGCGCTACGAGTGCGCCGTCGAGGAGAACGCCTACAAGCTGTCTCTACCGGCGACGACCACGGAGCGCACCCCGCCGCCCGAGCCTCAGTTCGAGGTGCAGGGCTGCGAGATCCAGGGCGTGTTCTACCAGGTCGGCCAGGTGGTGGAGGCCGCGTCAGGACCCTGCCTCGAGTGCAGGTGAGCAGCGGCGTCGAGCGGGCTGGGGAATGGGGATGGTGTGCCAGTACCACCTTGGGAGGCACCTTAGCAGATAATGGGATGATCAATTAACATTTTGCGGTAGCAAAATAAGCTATTTGTATCATCACTCCGTTAATAATAATTCACACAGATATAAATGAGCGTTGATCGAAAACGTGAACACTTTTTTGTTGTTAGCATTTATAATTGTCACCACGTGTTAGCCAAGTACTTTCCAATGCTGATATCTGACCGACGCGTGTTCGCCTTGTTCCAGGTGTGGTCAGAACGGTTCCATGTCCTGCGACCCGAAGAGCTGCCAGCCGCAGACACTGCTCAAGAAGATGATGATCAAGGCCGCCGAGAGGAAGCGGTGAGCGTCGCTCTCCACGGGGGAGCGGCGCGCGAAGCAGCTGGAGGGTGCCAAAAGTGATCTTGTGCGAGCCGTAGAGACGGCCCGGGCGGCATCGGATGTCATATCAAAAGATATTGTGAGGACTAAAATCGGTTCTTGGCCGTCCATCGACGCCGCGAGACGGAGAGATGCAGCTCAATCGAGAGGCGAGCCAGAAAAGAGAGAGAGAGAGAGAGAGAGAGGCCGACGGCCAGCATCCATCACCCCGAGGGGCAGACGCGGCGGCGGGCCGCCCCGCGCCGCATTAGTGCCTTTCGTACATCTGCGATAAGTGACGTCATTTCTGGCAGGTGGCATTATTGGTGTGCTTGTGTGTGAACGAGTGTTTTTTGTCTTGCAAACTTGTAACGAAGGACAGCGGCGGGCATTGATCTAGTGGCGAGTGATGACTTTGTATGTGTTGACTTCAGTGATGGTAAATGAGGAAACCTAAGATTTATGGGCATACGGTGGCGCCAGTGTTGGCGTCACCTTTCTTTGTACATGTCAACTCCATATTTTTAAGTGAGCGACTTTGTACGCGAGCGTTTATAGTCTCGTTGTGTCGGGCTGAGCCTACCACGTGAGGTGGGGTCGTGTGTGATATCGGTGTGTATCGAGTTGTGTCGATGGGCCATTACAATGTCTGCCGCGGCCGGCGGTCGGCTGGTCGGCCCGTCGGCAGCGGCCCGTATCGTACGGACGTACGGTACGGGCTGGGCCGACGGAGGCCCCGGCCGCCGTCGACCGGCCGAAACTGTCCTCTGTTATGATTTCGTGCAAGAACTACTGTGTCGCCTGCTGTCGTTGAAATATATTTATAATCATGACTTGGGGTCGTTATTTTGACGTGCACTCACCATGTTCAAGCTACAAAGAATCGAAAAAATGTACGAACGCCCAGACGTCCTCACTTGGACATGCATGAAGTTAGATCAATAATAGAGGCGTAAACATACCACACTAAAACAATGATTGATAGTTGCTTTTTATGTGCCAACTGACAACCTACCATCATCTCTCTAATAGAGTCTTATCATGTCTGCAAAATGAAGCCACCACTATATCTGTCCTATCAAGCACAAAGGCATGCATAGGATGCATTCTGCAGTCAAGAGACATAGCTCGCGTACCAACGTCGACACCACTCATTAGCCAAAGGCAGTGATGGTTACAATTAATTAAAGTGCTCAACAAACAACTCTTGACAGCAGGGAACAGCTAGCTGTCAGTCACTACCATCAAACGGTCAAGCAAAAACAAAACAACCAACGCGGACCTTCTTTCCTGTCTTGAAAGTAGCGCGCATCGATGCGGTGGATCCATCAAGTCCCCGAGGAAGGGCTGCTAAATTTGCGTCACCAGCCCCATTGACATCCTCACCCATCCCCAGGTCAACTGGTGGTTCGGTGACTCAAATTTAGCAGCCCTTCTCCATTCGGGGTTGATGGATCCACCGCATTGACGTGCGGTACCGAAGCACCACGGTGCTGCTCCTGCCGTGCGCCGGCAGGGGCAGCACCGTGGTATACCTACTATATCTCCGCCGACACCCTGCCATTGTCAGCCGCGGGTGGCTGCCGATCTCCGAGCGCATCAAGACAAACCGGTTCAGAGGGTCACATCACAGCACAGCATTGAACACATGGCGGCAGTGCCGGGGTGTCGCCCAAGGTCCGGCCGGGGTCCGGGCGCGGTCGACGGGTACAAAAGGCGGCCAGCGGCGGCTGCCAGCACACTCTTCGCAGCCGCCGCGACGCCCAGACATGTTGGGGAAGGTGAGATTGGGGCGTGAGACGCGTTCAGCTCTTCTGTACAGCTGGGACGCTAACCGGTACTCATATCATCATATCAGACCTGGGTTCTTTTATATCAGCATTTTAGTGTGCCACACTAGGACCAGTATTTATCCCCCGTGTATTTAAGTCTTGATCGTTATCTGTCAGTAAATCCTAGGTATTGAGAGGCATGACCTCCCAGACCGGGCTACACCCCTCCACAGCCCTCTCCACCTCACCCAACTGACAGCCCACGCTCCCCGGCAGGTGATTCTCGTTGCAGTAATCGGCGCCGTCCTGGCGCAGAAGCGGGAAGAGGTGCGCTCCGGTCTCCAGGACGTGGCCATTCTCAACGAGAAGCGCTCCCACGACGTGTCGGGCAAGTACGACTTCGGGTTCGCCGCCGAGGACGGCACGGCGCGCGTGGAGGAGAAAACAGACGACGGCGAGGTGCGAGGGCAGTACCAGTACGTCAATGACGACGGCGAGACGGTCGTCGTCAAGTACACGGCTGGTAAGAACGGCTTCGTCGTCGACTCGCCGGTGCTGCCCAAGGCGCCCAAGGCGCTGCCCACGCTGCCGCCGCCGCCCCCACAGCGGGAGTATCAGCAGCAGTATCAGCAGCCGCCGCAGCAGTACCGTCCGCAGCCGCCGCCCTTCCAGCAGCCGCAGCCTCAGTACCAGCAGCAGCAGTACCGCCCCCAGCCTCCTCCGTTCCAGCCGCCGCAGCCGCAGTACCAGCAGCAGTTCCGGCAGCAGCAGCAGTACCGCCCGCAGCCGCCACCCTTCCAGCAGCCTCAGCCGCAGTACCAGCCTCAATACCAGCCGCCGCAGCAGCAGCAGTACCGCCCTCAGGCGCAGTACCAGCAGCAGCAGTACTCCCAGGGTCCGCAGCGGTTCGTCCCTCCTCAGCCGGCAGCCCCCGTTGGCCCGCCCGCCGCTCGCTACCCGGCCGGTGTGGACCCGCGGGCCTGTCCCGAATTCCCCATCTGCCCCAACCAGTAGACACTCAGCTCAGTCACAATAGTCAGCGTAACCCCGGGCCGACACTGGCACCCGTCGTCGGCCACCCCAGCTGTGATAGACCCCCAGAAGCACCACACAACTGCCACTGAATGAATGGAAGACGTTCCCGCATCTGCTTGGAAAGATAGCATCATGTGTGATAGAATTCTATTGCTGTAAAGCGATCACATCGCCTCGTTAGTTGCGACTCGCTGTGTGCTATGCAATACAGTCGATGTCAGCTTTGCAGGACTTTTACTTGGCAAAGAATGCGCTTGAAGGTCGCCCTGAGGAGAACAGCGAGTAAGCGAGACTGCTCTGGGACGAGAAGTAGGAAAGTCTGCGTGAGAGCAGCTGGTAAATTTTATTAGGTATAGCGAAGGGGTAGGAGCCGAGAGCGGGAGGGGTACCGAGACCAGCTGTGCTCGCACTTCAAATTCAGGGTCAGGGTCGGAGTCAGACCGTCTGCAATTTCCGGTGCCGCCCAGTCAGCCAGGCCAGACACAAAAACTGGGCCCTGTGACCGCCAGAGACGGCGTACCGGGGGCGATACAGTTAGTAACGCGGCCGGTGGGCGGCCCTGACGGATTACCTGCTGTAGGTAGTTCAGCAGTACGACAGTGCGAAGTGACGAACCTTCACAAACCATTCCCAATTATACCAATACTCTATCATCCCCTCGACCATCCCCATTATGTTGAAATCACAGCTGCGTTAGGTGGTAACTCATACGCCGAAAATGCACACCCCACTTCCCATCATCTGGAATCGCCTTTTTGGCCTCCCGGAGCGAAGCAGTGAGAGCTCAGTCTGGTGAGCTCACTGGATCTGGACGCGTTCACAGCCATGTCGCACATCAGTCGACCTCACACTATTTCCTTGACATGAATATCATTATATGCAGTCACATCAGGCATGAAACTGCGAACGACTTCCGATGCTGAGACAGTCAGCAATCAGTATCTGCATTTTGATACAGCCACGCTGCGCAATGGAATGGTCGGTAAAGCTGCTCATTTTGATGAGCTGAGGGACGGTGGCCCTTCAAGACAGGGATGCAGGTCACAAACTTATGAGCCGCAGCTGAAACCGGCCCTCTTTCCCACTAACAAGGTAGTCTGAGAGCAGCATCACTCTCCAATTAAAAACCATAGCCCATTCCCCGAGCGTAGTTGCACTAGCCAAATAAACAGCAAAGAATCAATAGCCTCGAATTAGGATCGAAGAGAAAGCATGTCGTACACGTAATTTGACATTTGCACAATTGTACCGGCATCAATGATAGTTGCAGGAAACAATTATTGCCTAAGCCCTGAATGCCACCGACCTGAGCAGCTTTGCTCCCAGTCTCCATCTCAATAGATATCGCCTATCGGCGCCACGACCTCTGACGAATGGACGCCTGAGAGGGCTTTATATAAGTCGCCTACCGAAATCTATGATACGACTTAAACTGAAAGCCATGTCTTGAGTGAATTATGACTGGCGAGATTCAAGAACCAGACAAAGTGAGGGCATGCCTGTGCGTCGCTCACACTTGCCGGCACATCAACGCCGGCGTTCGCGACATTACTGTGAGTGGTCCCCAGGCGCCTTTGTTTACTAATGACTAGTCTGACAAAACGTGCAACCCGATCTTTATATGTAGGTAGTATAAAACACCTTCCCTTGGACGGATTTCCATAAAATATATTTCACATCATAAACCATTATATCTATCCACAGCTTGCTAAAACATATCACAACATCAAACTAGTCCAACACACAATATTGTTCCAAGCACACCCCACAAAACAGGCAACTTTGTGAGAAATCACTCAGGCGTACGCTACAACCAGACACATCACTGGAATCACAGTTTACGGAATACGAGCACAATAAGGCTGTCGACCTTCCATGGGTGGCGGACGGCCATTCCGTGCTCTAGCATCAGATACCTGAGCCAGGAGGCCACTAAGATGTCTCGGCTCTTCTGATAGGCTATTCAATATTATCAAGTGCCTCCTCTTTCCCTGCCATGTGAACGACAAACCTTGAATACGAGTGAGAAGGTTCAGCCCTATAGCTCACAACTCTTCCTTATTTGGTCCCTTGGAGTTGGAAATGCAGTGAGAGAGTCGAAAACTCTACCAATAATGAATATAAAGAAACAATGCAAGAAAAGGCACTTTGTAAGAACCGATATTCACATTAAAATAAACTATAAGCTGATGTTTTCTTCTGCATAAGACTTGTCAGTTTTTCACCTACTTATTCATAACTATCATGAATAATAGCACATTTTCATTTAAAAACACAAAACAAAATACTGAATCGGAGGCACAGCGAAACCTCACTCAATTGTGTAGAAAGTGTAGCATACTGTTCGGTTAGCAGTCACTGCGATATGATAAAAGCTCATCCAGCTCTCTATCCCCGAGGGAATGCCTTGTGGACTATTCAGAGCGTACCGGACCCCAACCAGACTCTCCTAGACCCTAGTCCAGACTCATGACTGTTTTTTTCTCACTGTGGGACCCGAAGTGTTCCCAAGCTGGGACTGCAATCAGCCGAAGGCACTCAAAAGAAAGCTGCGCTCGGTGGGAGCCAACGGATGAATACAATCACATGTGTGTGACGAGTTATGACGTCATGGCACAAGCTTGTCAATTATTCTTAATCATCGACCTCAAGTCGCCTACCAGAGGGACCGGGAGAGCAATTGTACGTAGCATATACCCTTATGTGTCCAGTCCTTTTCTGAGCCGCCGACGGTGGCTCCATCTACCCTGAGGAGTTAAGCCAGAGTTGGCCAGTCGTTCACCTAACCCCGTGCCCTACCCGATCAACACAAAATGGCGAGCCAGGAATGGCGAGAAGGTGGGACAGTTCCGGCCTTCATCCCGACAAGCCCGCCCGCTGCCTCGCTCCCCGTATGGCCAGCTGACCTGCAGGGCCCTCTTGTCTGTCGACTCCGAAAAGTTCCGAATAGGTGGTCCATACGGGAGCCGTCAGTGACCTCAGACCGGTCCCTAACGGAATCACTCGGGCAGCTTGGCGCCGTCCGTCTTAGGCAGGAGACACGATAGCAAGGCGCCACCTGAAACGCAAACAATGAAGAGCGTCAGTGTCCTCTCAAAATGGTGCCAGTTGCTCAATTAGCAGCATTTTACCACCCAACCTCACCGCCAGCCTAGCCCACTTCTCTGAGTTCTGACCCATAATTAGCATTCTTCTTGAGTGACCCGTGATGAAAATGCGAAATCTTATGCCCAATGAACAGAAATAACCATTCCCTCGCACTACCCAGCCCCTCCCTACTCACCCATGAGGAGAGCGGCCACCATCAGTATAGGTATGGCGCAGTTGAGGTACAGAAGCTCCCCGAACACAGCCTGACCGGCTATGGCGCCGATACGGGCCACCAGCATCAGCACAGCGATAGCTGTCGACCTGGAAATGGAACAGAGGGAGCACGGTCGTCAGCAGTGACTGACAGGGCGTGATTAAACAATGTAAATGTCCAGTCACTTATAACGTAATGTTAAGGTTACTTTGGTGTCAAATGAAAATTTAGTCTGGGGACTGCTATTCAACAAGGAAAGGAAAGAAACGCTAAGCAGAACAAAAGTGTAAAAATGTTTTACACGTCTCAAATGAAGATTCGTCGAAGTTTTCTATTTCTCTGTTATTTGCAAAAGAATTGTTGATGAAACACGCTCTAGCAATCACTGTCCGTCTCATTATCAACCCAGCCGACGGCGGACGGGCTCCCCGCAACCTCACCGGAGATGTGTGGGGAACAGCTCTGCCGACACGCAGTTGATGGCGCTGAAGCTGAGGTTGGAGACGGAGCCGAACAGACAGGACAGCGCCAGGTTCTGCCACGTCTTCTTCACCAGGTAGATGAGAAAGACGCTGCCACTCGACATGGCTAGGCCGATCACTGTGGAGAGAGGCGAGGAAAGGTTGGTTAGAACGGTGCAAACGACGCAATTAACGCAATTCGGTAGCTATTAGGTCGTCGCCAAAAGGTGTTCAGATCACACACGCACCCGTTCAATCCGACACAGCTAGTAACAGTGCAGCCGAGATATTTAGCAGACATTCACCTTATTGTGTTAAACGGAGACGACAATGACCAGACCCAAAACCCTTGGAGGGCAGCTGAACAGTCTGACTACACTCTCTAGCGCGTCGCAATAGTAACATGAGGGAAACCGCTACGGATCCCACAACAACCACAAGCTGTCACCGATCCCACATGACAGCCGTCACACACTTCAGACATCCGGCAACCGACAAAAATCACCACCACTTACCGAGAAAGAACTTCCTGCCGAGTTTATCCATGTGGAAGATGGTCCACATATTGAGCAGGGCCGGCGCCGCGGCCACTATGAACTCATCCATATAGGCGCTGGGACTGGCGGCAGCGGCGCACGGGTCGACCGCCGTGCCGTTCACCGAAGCGTCTATGATATCACACATGGCGGCCGGCGCGGCCGACGGGTGAGCCTCCTGGTACTGCTCGAGACGGTTGAACAGCTCCGGAAACCACACCCAGAGGCCGTAGTAGCTGAGGGAGAGGAGAACTTAATCAAAGTCGGGCCTGCAGTGAAGTTCATTAGTACAGCAGCTATTGAACGGCTGAGGCTGAGCCGATGTGGTACTCCACTCTTGCTACCGACTGAGTACAGATTGAAGTTAACAAAATCGGCGAGAACGGGCGCTACTGGACACCAAGCCTCTTGTCCCGAAACAAGAAGATACAGAAGATGAAAATGAAGATGAAAGTAAGACACGTGGTGATAACACGTTTCAACGATCACAGGGTAACCTGAAAGAAAGGTCAGCTCAACTAAGATCCTACCCTTTTCGACATGCCTTTCAGTCGATATGAGCGGGACCTAAAAGTCAAGTGGCGTTAAGTACCTTTTAGCATCAAGCGTCAAACATGTGGTTAAGTATACAAGGTTTTTTATATTATCGAAGTAAACGGCCGGTCCCTCGCCGGCCCACTAACCCGAACTGTATGGCGAACTCTATGCCGAGCAGAACGACCAGCGGGCGCAGGCAGGTTCTGAACAGGTCGGCCACGTTCCCTATCATCACACGGAGAACATCGCCGGCCGACTGGCGGCGCCGCGAGTCCTCGTGACGCACCTGCTCCAGACTGGACACCTGGGGGGAGAAGGGAGCGGTCATCTAGCCGCCGCGAGTCTTCGTGACGGACCTGCTCCAGACTGGACACCTGGAGAAGAGGGGGAGAGGTAATCTAACCGCCGGGAGTCCTCGCAACGAATGGAGGGGTAAGATGGGGGATAGGGATAGAAGTAATAGGGAAACTGAGGGGAGTGGTAGGGGTCGCTGTGAACGATATGAACAGTGAATGCACGGTACGTCCAAAGTGGCGATGGGAGTAAGAATATGGATTATCGAAGGGACGTAAGAGTCAACATTAATCCGAATACATCTTTAAATTCATGTGATATCTATCTCTGTAGTAGCTGTTTGTGCCCCGTATCATTAGTGCTACTATGTATAATCACCCTACCTTACTATCATCGCAAGCCTTCCCTAACAGATACCCTCCCGTCTTTTCACCCCTTCTCACCGGGTAATCGCCGACCTTCCCATGCGCGTTGATACGGTGCACCTCTCGCAGAATCTCCAGGGCCTCTGTGTCGCGGCCCTCGGCCAGCAGAAACTTGGGGCTCCGGGGGAACCGCGTCAGAGCCAGCGCTGACAGGAAGCTGGGCAGCCTGCCGGGCGGCGGAGGAGAGGAACGCGGTCAGTTGGGAGATAGAACTCCGAACAAACAGCATGTAAGTGAATGGAGACAAACGTAGAAAACAAAGCAGTGAATTGATGAAAACCTAGTACAAAGTGTATTAGTCGGTCACATGTCATGGTAAGAGTTACGGCAGGAACTACGAAACGACTGCCTGCGGCGGGCTTATTGGGATGTCGGTCATGTGTACTCAGGTCGCATATTATAGACACAGCACGGCAGCCAATGCCTAAAGACGATAGGTACTAGATTTAACACGTTTAGTTGGCAGCGCGCTTACTTCTCCACATTCCAACAACAGCATTATCACATCGAGACTATCGCATCATACGTACGTGGCGAAGAGGACAAATATGCGCCATGAGTTGTACTTGAACGGTCCTTCTGTCCACCCAATATCGGCGGGGATCATTAGCCAGGCCATACCTGGACGCAGAGAGGACAAACGTTAGAGGGGAAAAGTACTGAGCAAACATCCCAGCCCAGGTTTGACAACCGGAGATACTGTGTTGGGGGCACACAGAGCGTGAACAACATACACGGGAGATGGTATCTCTATCAGTATCGGCAACGTTATCTATGACAGTGGGACACTAAACCCGTCAAGATAGGCCGTGTGGTGCTGTTTATAGTGGCACGAGAATGATGTATGTACAGGAATGCGATGAGATCGGTACATGCAGCATCGAATACGGATGACTTAGAATCGACACAAAAAGTAACAACTGAATAAACTGACACAAACAGTCTATCATTTAATCAAACAGCAAATATAACGACCGCAATATTACGAGCACCAGCCTGTCAAAATATGTCCACAAGCCTCAGTTCAGACTGTTTTCCACCGCCATTAATTTCTAAAGCCAAAATTCCACTGGCTGCCCCGTTGGGGGGCATTTCCTTCCCTTCGCCTACCACAAAAGTATTTCCGATAATGTCGACTATTCATCATATTTGCGATACGAGGGTGTTTCTTCTCCTTCCTTAGCTACCACCACAGATTTCCGATAACCTCGGCAATCTAACCCGTTCTAGGGTGTTTCTGACCTTAACTGCCATAATTTATGTAATATGTATTTCCAATAGTCCTGACTACTTAACCGGTTCCGGGGTGTTAATCTACTCACCCGCCACCAGCGTCTTTCCAGTAAGGATATTTTAGTCCCTTACCTGCTACCAGCGTGTTTCCGATGATCCAGAAGTAGGAGACAACGGCAATCATCCTCCCCCGATATTCGCTCGGTGAAAACTCGGAGAAATAGGCGAACACCAGCGGTGTGGCACCGCCCACCCTGTGGGAAGGATGGCGTTCGTGAGATTCAGGGTATGGTGGTGCTTATGTAATTTGGCTATGTAAGTAGGTGACAATGCAAGAGATGTTGAGATTAGTGATGTCAATTACGGAAAATCGTGATACCGATACCAAACCAAATACCAACAATATCCATTGAAAAATACCGAAACCAAACCGACATGGGAATATGAGGAAAATACCAACTTTTTACCAAATTCTCAGCCTCTTTTACATCAGTGAGGATTCATAATACCAACAAAATACCAAATGCATTCGCCTTGAAATACCAAATACCAAGTTGGTATCGGTTTGGTATCGGTATACCAAAAAGTTGGTATCCGATTGACATCTCTAGTTGAGATGCTCCCGACAGTAACATTGGGCTTACGCTAAATGGGAAGAAAGACGACCGTAACGGCCAACGAAATTTCTACAATGCTGAAAAGCTGGACAACTGCAGTGCATAGGGCATACCAGTTCCGTAACAGATAATGCGTCCCTGTCAGAGGAAATTAACCATCATACAAATAGCTTTTCACTTCAATTTGTACACGAGATGGCATACCAAAAATGAGCTTTGGAGCACCTTACCATTCACACATATCGATAACAGTACGGATTTACAGCGAACATACCACGTTTATGCGTAAGTACAAGTACGCACTTGAACGCGCGAAGCCGTTGCTAACTACAGCGAGAGGGAAACAAACAGAGTGGCGATATGTGCTCGCTCGCGCGCTTGAGGGCAGTCGAACAGATGATTATGTAACAGTCACGCGGCGGCACCACGTGGATACGTGGCACCACCCAATGGAGACGGGATGGGTGACTTGCGAGATCGACTATCAAGTGATCAGGGTGACTTAGATAGGGGTGGAGGTTGTGCAATTAGACATGGAATGTTGTAGAATGTTTAAATGTATCTGAATTTGCATTATTTTGGAAAGCAGAGTGTAGCCTTTTTGTAAAGCGTAGCAGCTGTGAAAAAAAAAATCATTTCGAAACCATCCGAAAGGTGTGTTCAATTCAAATCAATCGACTGACGTGCGATTGGTTATGCGAGCGTAGTTTTTGCACGAACCAGACATCCTCTCACTTATTATTATGCGTAAACGAGTAAGTCACCGGCATCTCACTTGAACAGCATTGCATCTAATTCACTCAGCAGTCGTGTTCCCCGTTCCCTATACCGTTAAACGCCCCTCCCCACTGGCAGTTCCCTAGTCACGCACTCACCCGACTCCGCTGAGGAAGCGACACGCCAGGAAAGGCCAGAAGCTCTGCATCAGCGAGGAGACCAGACCGAAGAAGGCGTTAAAGAGGAGCGCAGAGACCAGCGTGGCCTTCCGTCCGATGGCGTCACCGAGACCGCCCCAAACGCAGCCGCCGACCATCAGACCTGGAGGTCAGAGCAGAGGTCAGTTAGAGGTCATACCACTAACCGCCCCAAACGCAGCTGCCGACCTTCAGACCTGGAGGTCAGAGCAGTGGTCAGTTAGAGGTCATACCACTAACCGCCCCAGACGCAGCCGCCGACCATCAGACCTGGAGGTCAGAGCAGTGGTCAGTTAGAGGTCATACCACTAACCGCCCCAGACGCAGCCGCCGACCATCAGACCTGGAGGTCAGAGCAGTGGTCAGTTAGAGGTCATACCACTAACCGTCCCAGACGCAGCCGCCGACCATCAGACCTGGAGGTCAGAGCAGAGGTCAGTTAGAGGTCATACCACTAACCGTCCCAGACGCAGCCGCCGACCATCAGACCTGGAGGTCAGAGCAGAGGTCAGTTAGAGGTCATACCACTAACCGCCCCAGACGCAGCCGCCGACCATCAGACCTGGAGGTCAGAGCAGTGGTCAGTTAGAGGTCATACCACTAACCGCCCCAGACGCAGCTGCCGACCTTCAAGTCTGGAGGTCAGAGCAGTGGTCAGTTAGAGGCCAGTTAGAGGTAATAGGTCAAACAGGGATAAGAGGTTAGTTCAACAAGTCACTCTACTACGGACTATCATGTTTCGCCGTGACAGAGGTCAATTAGAGATGACTTATTCCACCTCCTTGTTATTGAACTTTCAGACCATGTAAAATTGCTTTTCTTCTCCTCTTCCTTAACTGGTTAGATGAGACAACTAATGTCCTTTGACCCCAGCTCACCTGATCATGGGTAGTAGTGTAAAAAAAACGACCTACTGAACTAGCGAGGCATTTCGAGTACCAAAAAACATAGCGCACGTTTGAAAAGGATGCAATGGTCAAAAAACGTATACGCGATATGACGTAACAATAAGTGACGCAAAAGTACCGAGCCTCGTTTTAGTCACATGCTCCAGCCGTTGAAGTGTTATTGGAGCACGAACTTGAAAAATAATTTTGTAATTTTACTGAACATGAACCACCGTCCATCAGTTGGTATATCACCACTATAGGTTGAGTGTAGGACGTAGGTTGGTTTCCACTGATACTATAAACTTCCACTGATACTTATAACTTCCAGTTTTCTCCCTGAGGGGTTATCCCCCGGTTGCCTCGGTCGATAACATACGGATAAGTGACAGCAAACACAACAAAGCAACATGGATTCCCTACGTAGAGAATACGCTTTATACCGATCGAGAATACGGTATAAAACTGCGTCTATAAATACGTGACCATGCCAGAGAATGTGTACTGTAATCAATAAATGAAACTGCACGACAGCCCACGTCACCCTCCACACTTACAATCCCCAAATCAAAGCTTCCTTTCATTTGTCGTAAGACCTGCAGCCATATCTAACCAAGTGCAGTCGTCCACAGTAACTTGCGAGCGATGTAATTCGAGGAAACCTATTTCAGCCAACTACCAGCTGGCTCAAGTAGGGCAGATAGTAGCCTAGACAGCCGTGTCGTCAGCATCCCCTTTGTCTGGCATTTCTTGAATGTCAAAACTTAGTGGAACGAGACAGTATTTATACGCCGGGTAGACTGTCTACCGGCGGTCTTCTGTCACAAAACCAAATACGCGCTGTGCGCTTGTGATTATGATCGGATAGAACAATGTCTGGTGAAGAGCAATGTTATCCTACGCAGTTGCAGTTCAGTGGTTTGCAGACATGCGTGCAGGCCAGCCGTCACATGTGGTCACATTGATATGCTGCAGCGCTGTTCAGTTATGACGCATAGTTTTATAGAAGACGGCTTGGATAGACCGGAACAATCGGAGAAGTTCGTTTCGATATGTAGGATATCCGCAGATACATACCTACGTTAGCATGATCTCCCTCAGTTCTTACGTGCTGTAATGTGAGAGGTAAACAAGGTATAAAACAACATTTTGTCTAAATGTTTTTTTTTTGTCCAGCTGTGCTTCCACATGAAGCACAATGAGCAAACTTATGTACAAGATTGATTTTTTTTTGCGTGCACTTGTTTCAATACCCTACTGTTTAGGACCCTAGGCAGTGAGTCATGTGGTATCACTACTCCACCTATTGGTATCACGATACAAAGCCCCCCCCCCCCCGATACCATTCCCCAGCCCATTCCATTAACCCTATTAGTGGCAGGCTCCTGGCTACCCCTATTAGTGGCAGGGGGGGGCTGTTTACGACCCCCCTTGATATCTCGAGATCTAACGGGCCGATTTTCAAAATTCAAACGGCATTCGATTTCGCTCAACGAGATCTACATTTCTAAAAAAAAAAATGTCAATAGGGGGGTAGAGGGGGTAAAAACGGGCAAATTGCAGATACATTTTAGACTGTTTATCACGGCCAGGTTTCTGAACAAATCTTAACACAACTTTTGCCGATCGATAGAGAATGAACCAGAAATTCACATGGATCCTAAAAATATGCATTTTCAAAAATCATAGGCGGATACAGATCATTGAGATTGGGGGTACACAAAAAGTATAGTAAATAAGGTTTTTGTTGGTACTGTTTCTAAAAAGGGTGGCAATGGTCTTGTTATGTTACAATTTTCTTATGAGAGAACGACTAAAATTGTATTGGTCATGCATAGGCGGTGTCAGGGCACCTATGTTGGGAGGTAAAAAATAACCCCCCTTTTTGGACGCCTGGATCCGCCTATTATAGCAAAAACGTGTGAAAAGAGGATGCACAATAACTTTGTATATGTTATCACATGACACCTTTCATTCACTGTTCGTAAAACTGGTGCAGCATCGTGATCTTCTCCCAAATGACTCGCTTCACGAATAGGACCCCCCAATTCCCAGTGCTCTGGAGCCGCCCCTGGTAAAGTTATGAACTTGAAATTTTCAGGGAATGTGCCCAATTTAGTTTAAGGAAAAGTCAGAAAATTTCAGCATCGTAGCTTCAGGGGTTTCGGAGATATTCCCCAAAAACCTGAGGGGTGGATAAAAACACCCCCCCCCCTGCCACTAATAGGGTTAAGTCTCGCCGATGTAAACCACACTCCCCTCCTCGAACCTCACCGATGAACGAGGAGGCGGTCAGGTATCCTTTCTGCTCGGCCGTCATCTGGAGGTCACACTCGGCCGCCGGCAGCAGCGACGACACACTCAGCAGCTCCACAGCGTCGGCGGCATTGGCCCATCCGATGGTCAGCACCAGCCAGTACTGGAAGCGACCGAACCCGGCCGCCGACAGCGCTGCGTCGTACTCAACGCGACGGCCGCCAGATACTGCACGAGGGAAGGGGACAGGGGTCAGATAGTGGTATGTTAGAATCAGCTACCAATCACCGGCTGTAAAGGCTAATGTCATACCACGTAAGGTCAGGTCAGGTCAGGAATGCAATCAGTGACTTCCAATCATAAGAGGGCAAGGTCAAATCATGTCAGGTCGGGTAAGGTCAAGTCAGGTCAGAATGTTACTTAACTAGTATAACTACTGGGCAATGAAGAATCATATCATAAGAATGTCAAGAGTATGTTTCGGATAGTAGCCGGGATACCGCTACGTTAGATCAAACATACGGTTCGGCAGATGCAGAGCATGTGAGCCGATGGATTATTTGACTATTGGATATCATAACAGTGACGGAAGCATCATCGAAGAACTGGGTCAATGTGCAACAGCACTGTTCTGGTTAATTCGGCAAACACATTGGAGAAGTCACAGGCCAGCGTCTGCGCCGCCTGCTACTGGGTCACAATGACACTGATGAGGAAGACGAAATTTACCGGCACATATGTATTATGTAATTCGCCGTCCGTCCCACTGTAGCCGGCGCTCCATCTCGGCGACGACCGTATAGATCGCGTCTACACACCAGTTCAGGGAATCATCCAAAAATGTCACCAAAAAGTCGTCCTAAATAATGGCGAAAATCTTATGATAAATTGGGTCATGGACTCATGGGGCACACCGACCGACCCCATGAGCATGAAATACACAGCAAGCAAGCCACAGCAAGCTCCCACAGCAAGCCAGATTCAAACGACATTGCTCGCTCGGAGCTGTTGAGTCAGACGCTCACTGGAGCCCCGCGCGCCTCCCGATACCGAGCCCGTGCACTGCGCTGGGCCGGCCCCTCTCCCTCCCCTCCCACTCTGCAGCAGTGCTACTGCGTAGAACGAAGCCTTATATCGGCTGGTTGGTTTCCTTGTGCAACGTGCAGTCAGCCGAGACGGAGGACAGATTTGGCGCCGTGAATAGTACAGAGGCGATTTCTACCACGGGGAACGGAGCGGAATACATGAAAAAAGAGATACGATAAGATGAAACATTGAACAAGCATACCCAATTGGTGTTAAGGTTAAAAAACACTGACGAAAGTTATAAAACAATTCCAGTAAATATCAAATGAGTCTTGGATAATTATCAACGATCACCATAATAGGAAATAAGAAGTGGACTGATCATAAGCTTAGCACTACCTTGAAGTCCTTAGAGGAAACGACATCCCCGTCAGCTAACAACTGCGCCCGCCAGCGACAAGAACAAAAGGTAACACTTGCGTGAGTCCGGCGCTGTTTTTCGTCCTCCGTCGGTGGTTGTCAGCTTGCGCGTGGAGCCGTACTGATCGGGGAACTCTCCCCCTTCCTCCCCAGAGACACTCATCGCGTCCCTCTGCTGTACGACGGAGCGACCACCGTCGGTGTTGATGGCTCGGAGATCGGCAGACGACTGAGCGGTGTCGCCCGTCCCCAGTGTCCCTCTCGCCGGCCGCCGGCACCCCCCCCCCCCCCAACCGAACCTCGCGGGTCGGGGCAGAAGGTACTAAGGTGTTACGTATACAGCTGCGCCGGCCTCTCACAGGTAGCTAGGAGAGACTTCGTATTGGTGAGCGCCACAATACACCTATTGTGCTTTAAATGACCAAAAGCAGCAGGTGGCATACAAAGGCACAGAAATTGGCTGAAACAAGTGTGCAGGTAGAAAATACGGCGAAAGGGAAACCATCGAGTCATCCAAGAAGATCGCCGTAACCTTTCAAAAATGAATAAATAAATAAATAAATAAACAATTTAATAATAAAAAATAAACGATGCAAGGCCTAAACGCTTTATTTTCACAACACCGCAAAGACGGCGTTGGCGGGTAGTTCAAACTGTGAAATCGATTTCAACATGTCCGTGTCAGAATACTTAGATCGTTCAAGAGTATGAAGTAGGCACTCCAACGGACATCCGAGTGCGAAATACCAATCACTTAACAACATATGTGTAAATTTAATAAACCAGTAAAACGCCTTTTGGGCGAAGAACGAGCGAGCGAGATAGTGAGCCCTGCACGTGCAGAAGGGCGAGAGGGTACTTCCAACGGGCTTGTGCAAAGCACCCTTCTAACCGGTCGCTAGCGGTGTGCCAAATTTGAACGCAACCGGCCCAGCCGTTCCTGAGATCTGGAAGCGGCATTCTGCAAGTGCGCACGTGCAAACGGGGTCCAAAATGACTTTTGCACGGCACCCTACTAACTGGTCTCCAACTGTGTACCAAATTTGAGTGCAATCGGCCCAGCCGTTCTCGAGATCTGGAAACGCCCCCTGCACGTGCGCACGTGCAGTAGCACCTTGACCGCAACACATGGAAATGCATTGCCTGATGGGTGCCTACCTGTATGCCAAGTTTCAGCGAAATCGCCCCAGTAATTACCGAGTTATTAAAATGGGAACAAATTTGACACCTCTTATTGTTGTATTTTGCAAGTGCACTGAAGGTGACCCACATGCATCGAGGGTATCCTATTTTTGGTAGAAGGGATGCTGCTACCCTACAAAAATTACCGCAAGTCAATCGCCCAAGCGGCTGCTGAGATATGAGCCTCTCAAAATCACTACTTTTGCAAAACAGCTTGAACACCCTTGACTTTTCACGTGGCACGTGCCACGACGGTCACTGAGATGCATCAAAAGTAGTCAATTACGGGGTAGAAAGAATGGGGCTGCCCGGCAAAAAAGACCGCAGGACAATCGGTCCAGCGGTTGCTGAGATATAAGCCTCTCAAAAGCGTTACAGGCCGGGCCGGGCCGGGCCGGGCCGCTCATACTGAGATTTTTCCGTTATATTGAAAAGACTCGCTTCGCTCGCTGCGCTCGCTCGCTCGTAATTAAAATGCGCCAGGTGCTTTCAATCGAGACCGATTCACAACTATATAGATGTTAATTGATCGCTAATGTCATTTGTATATGTAACTCGTACTCAATGCAGCGTGACACTTGTCAAAATGCTCCCACTCCCATGTTATCCCCTCCATAAAGCGTGAGGGGATGATCCGCGGTGACGCGGTCTCAGCCGGCCAGAAGGATGCCCCAGCGCCGTGGGGCTCCGCTGCGGACGGAGGACCCTCTCCCAGAACCGTGCACCGCGGTGGGGCCACCATATACACTGTGGGGCCACCCACCGAGAGCATGCAACTGGTTGCGGTGGGTAGCAGCGACACAAGCGTGTGCTGATACCAACACGAACAGGGCCAGCCCACGCTAAAGATAGCCCAAGTTTCCGACTATCGACTCCAGACAGCAGCGAATTGACGGAGACCACGCAAACCGGTGACCCATGACCTGGGCGGACCGATTGCAGATGATCGCAATGAAAGAGGGGCATTGTATCGAAATTGAGTGAGAGACAGGGCTTTCATGAACTTCGTTCCGTGTAATATCATAGCAGTGAGTCACAGTGGCTTCGTTCATCAGCAATCCTGCCTTAACACGTCATTAATAAACCCATAATTGTGTAACGCGTCGAACTTTACTTCGGTCACATCAAAGACGTTATTTTGTGCCGCTATCTGCCACCGTTGGGCTATCTGTAACTAAGTATATCTCCCGCGGAGAAGAAACGTCTAGCTCGCTGAGTTGATTGCTCAAGAGAACCATGCTTGATTTCGGTGAAACGATCCGGATGCATGAGAAGTGTCAGAATCTCTAGGGCCGAGCTCTGTAGAACTGATAGGAATTTAACGAAAGAGAGCACAACTCAATCTTAAACAGCAATGAAAGAGTGCGTTTGGGCCAATAAATTACAACAAACGCATTTAAGCGTAAGACCAAATGAAACGATCCAACTTGATGTCGTTATGGGATAGGTACATCTTCATCTGTACCTACAGATGAATGATCAATATTCGTTTATTTTGTATCTGATTAACAACTCAGACTATTGATCACTTCATCAGAGCGACTATAAAAAATAGCAAGCAGCAATAGCAAATAGCAAATAGCAAAAACAGCAAGAGACCGATAGTAAGCGAAGTGCTTTATCTGCATAATGGTTAACGAGAGCCAGGAAAGGCACCATCTTCAGCTTGCATCATTCAATGAGCGACTGCGGTAGCATCCGCACGATCTTCTGCGCAGAAACAAAATCACAAAGCTAACTAATGCCCATCAACACCACTTTGCCTTCGGTCTCCGAATTCCTAACCAGCTGTCAATAACCAAGTCTGACATATAGCGATCGCCAGACGGCCATGTGTCACAATCCACCATTTCTTCCAAAACCTACATGTTGAACAGAAGCCGTCATCTACCACAATTTGCAAAAAGTTCGCTAGGTGAAGCGTGAAAAACATCGAAAGCACAGTTACAGTCTCAAAGATGACAACGAAGTAGGCAAAAAGCCACGAGGGACATTTACTGAGATGGTAGTGAGTGCCGAGTGGGCCATTACAGTACTAATACGAGTGTAAAAGAGCATCGTGATTCATGATATGGAAGGGACTGGATGGGACGGAATGCATCTGGATGTAGAAAATTATAATTTTGGAAGGATAGCGGCGAGGGATAAAGGGGCCGTCGCATATGAGAGGAGTCATCGTCATTACCGTCGGACGTCGGGGACGGGGACGAGAATTCATCGATAAAAACTTCACCACAATACATACCCATCGGCAGTTCATACCATCCGTTTTGACACTCACCGAGATCTTTTCTTTCCCCCGAACAGAAATAACTAGAAAACCCAATGACAGAAAACCATCGCACTCGCATTCGCTTATCCGAAAGCTCAAGCCTCAAGGCATCATTTCACATAGACACCTATTGGTCGTAACCAAAACTGGCATTACATAGGTGGCAGCATCTGTTACGGCTCCCATGCTGGAGGGTGACTGTCATTGCTGGAAGCTCATGACCGCTGGCCGCTACTGCCACTCACCTGGTCCGTCGTCATCGTCGCTGTGCTCCAAAAGAGCAATGCTCTCTTCTTTCTGAGGCCGGTGCAGCATGACCTTGCCTAGGTGACAGCCTGTTCAGCCAATTTGAAGTGGCTGGGGCAGGAATACTTAAATTTGAAGGAATAAATATTGATTATTGATATTTAAATACTAGCTTATTGCTAAAATATCTAAATCAATATTCATTTTTATCATTTGTTTAACAATACCTACTGAAACATCACCAGTGTTCTGCAAGAGAAAGTGTGATTTTCATCAACATCAATGAATTTAAGGCAATTCTGAGCGCTATACTTGATGCATCTTTAAAGTTATCCAGCGGGCAAAGACAATAACAGTACAACTATCAAGTTGATAAACAGATAAAGCCTAAGGTATAACTGAGGCATGATAACGCAATTGTAACCTGCAAAGGTATGTCAATGTACACCTTTTGAGCTTTCAAATAACACTCATCAAGCAAAGTTGTTGTGAGCCTAGCTTAGCCAAATGAAATAAATCAGCATTGGTCAACATTATGGAGCTGTGGAGAGGAGGCACATGTGAGTCCACAATCCACACATTCTCACTCAGCATGTGCATTTTTTACACACCAATGATTTCATGTATTGCTATGCGAGACAGTTTCCAGTTCACGATAAAAAAGACCGTTCTGGTTTTTAACAACACCTTACACCCAATATCACAAATCACGATAGGCCGCTGGCTAGAGTTGTCCGTGCAGAATGGGCGCCGGCCGGTGTGACTACACAGGGCCCGAGCGGGTGACGATCGCAGGCTCCTCTCCCGTGACTGGATGACTAGACGTGGGTCGAGCCGGAGCGGTGTTTCGAGCCGGCCAGCTCAAAGAACAGCACGTATGCCTTTCCGCTGTTGACGTTTCTCTGATCCATCACGTGGACCCGCGAGTCGTTGTACTCGTACCACTCTGCCGTGTACGGGTGTCGGCAGTAAGCGGTGTAATGTCCTGAGAGCAGCGTGCCAGAGTGGTTCGCCACGCCGTATAGGCTGTACCGGCAGGGCGTCTGTCCGGCCGAGTAGGGCGACAGGTCCAGACCGTTCATCGACAAGTCGACAGTGGTGTTCAGCTTTCCGCCGAACCTCTCCTGAGGCGAGAACCGCTTCAGGTGCACCACGAGGATGCGCGGGAACTTCTGGATCGAGAGGCTCCTGGTGCACTTTTGGCGCTTCTGGCACTTTGAGCAGGTCGGTTTTTCGTCGCCATCGAGCACCTCCTCTTTGGTGAACAGGTCAAAACAGGCCTGTAGGCGCACCTGGCCACTTCGTGACGGGATTGGCAGACTCAGATCCCAGAACGGGTCGAAGGTAACCGATTCGTGGCCACATACCGTGCACCGCAGGGTAGCCTTGAGCTGGCCCACGAACAGGTCAACAAACTTGGAGTTTTCCAGGCGCAAGAAACGTTTCCAGGCCTCCATTGACTTTTGACTGGCGCTCATTGAGTCGTCGATGTCGGTCGTGATCGGCTTTGGCCGGCTCGTCACCCGGTTCACGTCCTCGTGAAGTCCCTCCAGCAGATATCTGAGGAATTCCTGCGCGTCCTGCTGCTGGGAGCCCATGAAGCGCGGCGCGAGCCGTTGGATCATCGACTTGAGTGGTGCGGTGGTGAGCACCCGCTCCGTTTCGTCTGAGGATGTCCACATGTCGCGTATCAGAGCGCAGAATGTGTTCATGAGGGACCCCTTCGTAGCGGCGGCAGGCATGCTGGCATCTGAGGAGCGTCCATCGCGCAGGATGTAATCGTGGAGAGCGCGTGTGTTGCTCAGGCACTGGACGACTGTGTTCAGGAAGCAGGTGTTGCCCGTGTTCCTGAGGCCGGTGAGACCGAGCGGTCTGCCGTCAGATTGACTGCCAGTCCCGCCGCCGTCTTCGCTGGGGTTGCCGGGCAGTGAGCGGTGAGACACAACGTACATTGTGGCGTTCTGGTAACACGAGTTACCGTAATTGGGAAGTCCGGTGTAGAGCGGATCGTTGCCGTGTTTGTCGGGGTCTGCGGCTGGGGTCAGCTGTAGCTCGCGAGCCGTGTGCGCCTTGCCGCCGTGCAGCTGCAGCGCCCTGCTCTCCTCCTCCAACTTCTTCGGCGACGGCGGCGACCACCTCTGCTGGCTTGCCACTAACCGGGAACCACCCGAGCAGCCAGACCGCCTCGAGCCGGCCGCCGTCGCCAGCTGTTGCTCAGCGCTCACCCTGTTGGGGCGCTCGGCGCTGAGGTGTTGTTGGGACGGGTCAGTGGCACACTCCAAGAGAACTGAAGCGGCGTTACCTCTCACAATGGCGATGGAGAGTCGCTGCCAGAGCCACTCCATCTCTCGCTGGTCGCCGGTGACCGCCGCCATTTTAGCACCAAGTTCTTGGAGGAAGGCTTTGGTCGTAGGACCACAGGCGCCGCCTGTCTCAAATGCAACTGGCTCGAACCTGAAACGCTGGGTGAGCTGGGCGTACTTTCGGCGCTTCTCGTCTTCTGCTTTCTTGGCCGCCGCCGCAGACTTCAGCGCGGCACCTCCCAGTCTTGAGTCTGCGAATGTATTGACGCATGTCGCATCCCAAACTAGGCAACGGCCATGCGAGAATGGGTAGATGGTCATGCCGTCTGGCCTCTTTCCGTCGCCCCGGTCGACACCATACGGCTCGAGCTGAGCTGGTATGCCTGCAGTCGACAGAGCACGTCTGACTATGTCGTTCAGTGCTGTGTGGCGCGGTAATCTTCCAGCACTGAACTGACAGGTGAGAGCGTGGTGTCCCTTGACGTCGGCAGGCGAGCCGCACCTGCAGGCGTGGACGCCGCTGCAAACATCGGCGCCGACACGTAGAGCAACTGCGATTCTCACTGTCTCGTTGTCCAGGTGGGTTCCCAGACTAGAAGACGGGAGAGCTCTGAGCCATGCTCCGCTTTCAGGCGTCGCTGCGCCTAGGATACGAGCGCGGTCGAATTGGTTGGCTTCGAGCAGAAGGCGGTCCCTTTGGTGTTCGGCGATCGGAGCGTCCCAGGATTTCTGTCGGTCGCGTGTGTCGTCTGCAGGAGCCATCTTGCCGCCAGCTTTTACGAGCCACTCCTCTTCTGCCTGCTTCAGCTCGTTTAAGATTTTATCCGCGAAGCTTGCCGGCAGGATGGTATGTAGCAGCTGCTGGCAGCGGTGGAGCGAAGCGATGAAGCTCGGGAGCGCGACTTCCTCCGTTCTCCTCAGTCCTAGCCCTCCGAGTCCGGTAGGTAGGACGGCCTGTTCCCAGTTCATGTCGCTGAATCTGACATTCACTAGCTCTTCCATCGCCGCTCTGATGACCTCATCTAGCTGTTTCAGCAGCGCAGAATGCTGGAAAAATGGCGCAGCCCGCAGCAAGTACTGAAGCTTGGGGAGCCATAGACTATTGCGGAGCAGGTAGAGCGCAGAATGAGCATCGAGTCTCTTCAGCCGCCCGACCATCCGCACGAGGTCCTCCCTTTTGTCCTGTGCTGAAAGCTCCGCAGCGGCTGCCGTCAGTGGCGCTCCGAGGACAGTCTGTTCATCCTCTGACAGGACAGATGCACCTGGAATGATGTGGTGGAGTTGGCTGATGGTTTCTCCCTTGTTGTCGACTGTTGGCACGATGATCTGGCACTTGGAAGGGTTTACTTGCAGTCCGACTCTGGCCATCGCTGGAATGAGTTTCTTCAGGTCAGAATATACATCGGCGCGGTTTCCTCCCAAGGTGCCATCATCTAAAAACCAGGTGTTCATAGAGCATGTAGCGGAGCTAACGATGCTATGAGTTGCCAGGGCGAAGACTGCAGGACCGGATGGATCGCCTTGCTGCACGCCGGCGGCCGACATGATCTTCGCAGTGCCATGGAAAAGAGGCGTCGGTGACGAGTAGGCTTGCCACAGGAGCGGGTACAAAGAGGGTGCGCTGTCCCGCACCACGGCCAGGAAGTGGTCGCGGCGAATGCTATTAAAAGCATTTTGCATATCGATCTTCACTACGACATCCTCTTCACTGAGGAGCTTGACAAAATGTCGGGTGGCGTGTGCGGCAGCTTCGCATCCTCCGGTTGTTCCAAAGCCCAGCTGGACGGGCCGCAGCTTCTCTCCGAGTTCCGAACATAGAGGCCGAATCGCTACCTTGGTGGCGAGTCTGCGGTACGAAGAGCCGATGGCTATGGGTCTGATACCGCCGCATGGTTTCTCAAGGGCCAGCAGAGAAGCAGTGAAAAAGACCTCTCGGGCTGCGGGGGGAATGTCTCCGCTCAGGGCCAAATTCACCAAGCGGGTCAGAGCAGTGATGAGCCTTCTGCCGGCCTCCCCGCACGTGTAGCCCGTCAAATCCTGGAGATGAGACGGACTGAGTCCGTCCAGTCCCGCGCTGGAGCTCGTGTTGAATGACTTCACTGCAGCTTGGACCTCAGCACAGGAAGCTAGCAGCGGCTGAGTCGTGTCGTCCGGAGGTGATGGCAGGCAGATGTCTTCAGGGGCTGGTGGATGTTTCGCTCGCAGAGCGTCGATGGTCTTGCTTGTGTCTTGGGCAACTGCATCAGCGGAGGAGAGAAGACGGAGAGCCCCTTTCACGTCTCCGTCCGACAGCTTAGACTCCACGGTCTTCTTCCATTTTCCGCTCGACCTGTCCTTCTTCGTTCGGTTTTTGGCGACAGTTTTCGGCGCATTCAGAGTCGTCTCGTCGTAGTGATGGGGGTCCGTTGCGGACGGGTCAGTGCGATCGTCGATATAAGCGAATATCTGTCGTTTTATTTTCGCTGTCAGGCTGGACTTGTTAGCCCCTTCTCTCGCACTTAATGCTTCATACGGGAATCGCATAAGTTTGCTCCACGGCCCCACCTCGCTGCTTATGACGGCCTTCTCTATTAGAGTCGCCAGCGCGTCGGCTGCGGAGATCCGGGCTCCCTTGGGAATTCTCCGCACTACTGGACGGGAGCGCCTGAGGCCGGCCAGGGTGAGCCCAAGGTCTACGTCAGGCTCCGGCTGTTGCGGCGCTGTTAGAGTGGACGGCAGACTGGGGCCTGGCTCCGGGCTGGATGGAGTCTCGGAGCTAGCCTTGACGCAGTCCGGGCACCACCAGCGGTGGAGCGCGTTCGCCTGCGCCCTGTTGAGACGGACACATGACATGTGCCAGTGACGACTGCAGATGGCACATTGCATGTACCGCTTCCTGGTGCCGGTTTTTCCACAAAGTGGGCATGTAGGTCGGATACTGGAATTTAGCGATATTGTAGTTGCTTGGTCAGATTTACTCGTCACAGGTACAGGAACTGGCTTGCGGCATGAGTTATGAGTGGGACCTACTGATATGTCTTTTATTCTCTTGGGGATTTTCTTGCTGTTTGCGGTGACCCACTTTCCGCTGCTGGGGTCATAGCCCTCTATGGATGAATCGGAATCGATATCCATTTGTGCATCGTAGTTTTTAGGCGTTTCGGAAGTGGCAGGATTAGTTTCTCCTTTGGTGCTAAGTGAGTGAAGGGAGTGCTAAATTGTAAGCACGCGATCAACTCTGAAAAATCGAGCGCTGTAGGCCAGACTCGTCTACTCGAATATTATGGATTTTAACGAAAATATTAGATTTTTCACAGCTTTATATCTTAATTACTTTACATATTCTTACGTCCAAATTATCACCAAAAAACCAGAACCAGCATTGGTGAGCTGTCAAACTGAAACAGATTGTGACCAATTCCCATGGCCGTGTGTTCAATTTTTGTCCAAAACCAAAATAATGTTTGAGTTGGCCAGATGGACAATAGGAAAGCATAGCTCAGAAGTTAAGAAGAAATGTGAAGGATCTGATCTGATCATGATGAAAACTTATATTGATAATAGATTACAATTGATATTTTTACAAACCCAAAGCAGTGTCCCAAAATTATATTTTGGCTTGGGTGTCAGAGGGGAATACTTGTCACTATAAAGAGGGCTGAGAGTGGAAAATTGCCAGTTAGAAGTGTACAAAAAAGAGCAGAAAACAGATATCAACAATTAATTTGTGAGTGTTGGAGGATGTGGGAGCTGCCTTAAAAGATCATTGAATCAAATATGGAGGGAAGTACAAGGTGCACACAGATGCTTAATTGTTAAACTAGGGAGTGAAAAATCGCTCTGGAAAATTGGAGGTTAGAGTGGAAAATTATTTTGATTTGGATGTTACTTCCCATCCAAACTGGCAAATTTTGGGACACTTAGCCAAAGCAATGGCCAGCCTTTGCCACTGATTTAAAAAATCCTCAGCATTTTTCAAGGGTTCACAAACAACCTAGATAAAAGTGGTGGTAATCTATTGTAAGAAATCTGTACAGCATGCAATTCAAGATAAAATTGAAATATTATAAACCAAATCAAAATGGACCAACACCTGTGTGGTACTATAGTGGTACCGGGGCGCATATTCATGCAGTTATCGTGTTCGTGAGCACTGTTTGCAATAAAAAGTTATCCTTTCTAAAATGTGTTGGGGTTTTCTTGGAAGATAAAAACACGCAAAAAGCGTAATGCATTTTTTTAAAGCAAATCTACCTTTGATTCGTTCGAGCTAAACTCCTGTGTTTGCGTCAAAACAACAAGAAGAAATATCGATATGAAAAATAACAACGAGAAAGAACAGAATATACGCCAGAATCATGTCTTTGCTGCGCCACATAAAGCAAGTTTCTTCTTCACTCATCCCTCATTACGTTTAAAAGCAATTTGTAGATAAAAACATAATATAAAAATTTTACGTCAACAATAAATATTTTATTAACAAAAAATGATTTCAAAGCTACTTATTACAAATTTTTTTGTGCAAAATATCAAAGCTTAATGCTATATGACGTCAGTCGATTTCATGCACGTGGCGAAACCGGGTGATGAATTTTGCTTATCTTGATTTTGTGATGTTAAAGTTTGTGTAGTGTAAAAGCAAAAACGCTGATTTTGGAAAGGTAGGGTTACGGGTATTTCTGGGATAAATGATTCTTTTATGCACCGTCACCCTAATTGAATCGCATTCAACAAGTCAGCTCGCTGGTAAATATTTACTTTTATTTAACACCTTAGCATTGGTCATTGTCATTGAACAGTCACAGTGGATCAGGATAACGGTGAAAAGGTGAGGGCTTTACGAGTCCACTTTTAAAGAGATGACAAATATCAGTCGGGGGAGGTTTGGTCAATCGTTGTCATTTTTAGCACGTGCTATTTTTGTCACACGTGCTAAAAATGACAACGATTCTGCTATTTTTGACAACGATGAGGCCGATTTCACTCCTCAGCGAGGAAATGAAGATTTTGGAAAGATAAACACTGATTTTGGAAAAGAAGTGCTGCCACCTGGTGCAAGACGAAGAATCCAGCTTTAATATGCCTGTTATTTGTATGGTAGTTTGTTTTGTGGCCTGAAGTTGGAACTTAAAATTGAAGCATCCGAAAATGATCGATATTGATCGAAAACATGATGTTGATGAAAAAAATAATATTTTAAGTTGAGAGAGGAGGCCATTTTATCCAGATGCAGTAGTTTACTTCTTGAAATTATTTTTGCTAATGACGGCTGCTAATTATCCCTCATTACATGGCAGTCGTCGTAAGCAAAAATAATTTCAAGAAGTAAACCACCGCATCTGGATAAAATGGCCTCCTCTCTCAACTTAACATATTATTTTTTTCATCAACATCATGATTTCGATCAATATCGATCATTTTCTGATGCTTCAATTTAAAGTTCCAACTTCGGGCCACAAAAAAGGGTATACTTCAACGTTGGACTACCATACAAACAACGGCCATATTAAAGCTGGTTTCTTCTTCTTGCACCAGGTGGCAGCACTTCTTTTCCAAAATCAGTGCTTGTATTTCCAAAATCGTGATTTCCTCGCTGAGGAGTGAAATCGGCTTCATCGTTGCTAAAAATAGCTGATAGCGTTGTCATTTTTAGCACATGGTTGCCAAAAATGGCATGTGCTAAAAATGACAACCATTGACCAAACCTCCCCCAACTGATATGATAGGGTGATAACTTCTTATTCAGTTTATTCCTTGCAGGTATTCCTTGTGTTGTGTGATTTTTACATGATGTCTGATGATGAAGGCTGCTGTGCTGTATAGCATTATACCTCTGTTATACCCTGGCTTGTCTCAGTCTGGGGACTGGGCTGTCATAATCTGTAAAGGCTTAAGATGAAATAGGTAGGTACGTAGGTACCTACCTTTTCTGTACCTACCTTATCCTGAATGCCTCCATTTTTTACTGACTGTTCACCATCACTGTTCGCAGACTGCTGGGAAAATGGCGAGATCAGCACGTCGGGTTGCGCTGGTGCTCTGCGGAGTGGTGCTCACGGTGCTGGTGCTGCTTCAGCTGACCAGTCGCTCTGCACTGCCTTGCACCACAAATCCCGGGGGACGGACCAGTGGTGTTCCCCTGAAGGAGGTAAGGCCACCGAGTGAAAGGCAGAATTAAATTAGTCACATTAGCAAGCAAGCTACCTACCTGCTGAATGTGATTGCCTGTTGTCTTCACCCTCAGGCTGAATGATCCGATCAGTCTTCTCTAGCCTCAGCACCTGTGAAACCCCACTGGAAAACAGTCAACAATGCCAGTTGCCTCCGTCAGGACGGTCTGCTACAGACAAAACTTGAGCGGTTAGGAACCCGATAATTAGCTAGCCCAGTCCGCGCCTTAGTCCCAGTCATACGAGGACTGTAGTATGTGCTCATCGGATCAAATTAATACGCATCTGTGGTCTGATTTTTGTGCTTTGCATACCTAGGGGGTACATGATTCAAATGTAGAGTGTAGCGAGTAAAGTTGGCCAAGGTTGGGTCTCGTCGTCCTATGCCGAAATTCTTCAAAGCGCCTGCTTGCGCCGAACTTTATTTCGCTCATGCATGCGCCGGCCGCCGAAATTTCAACGCACGAACTTACGCCGGACGCTGCATCGAACTTTCGGTAACATAAGCCCATTACGCGGACATGTCGATGGTAGCATGGATTTTTTCAGTCTGGTCGCCGTAGGCTGATGCGGATTCGGCACCCTAACTGGTGCAAATAATCGCTCTGTTGCCACACTTTTGCAGTCTGACCTCCGGCCACCCTTTCTCTCATTCTGTTTTTACCACCCCAGGTGCGGATGGCTGGCATCGGCCCTGTGGACCGTAACATGCCACTGATATTCATCGGTGGTGTTCCCCGCTCCGGCACCACGCTGGCACGTGCCATGCTGGACGCCCACCCTATAGTGCGCTGTGGAGAGGAGACGCGAGTGATTCCGCGCATTCTCAGTCTGCGCTCACACTGGAAAAAGTCCGCCAAGGAGACGCTGAGACTGAATGAGGCGGGTCTGACCGATCAGGTGAGTAATTGGGGGGGGGGGGGGAGGCATGACGAATTGCCGGGTTGTCGTGGTGGGTTTTAGACTGGGACAGGGCACGGGACAGCTGTGGGTTGAACGGTACAGTTATGGAGTGGGACTAGATGGGTTGTATATTGGGATGTCGTGGGCTCAAATATGGGGCTGTATTTTTTCATGAATGGGAGATGCCCTCTCCCATACCGGTATACCGGTTTCTGCCTTACCGGTAGGTACTTTCCTTACGTAGTGAACTGTCAGTTTCAAGGTGACAGTGACAGAGCCTTCGAAGGTCAAACACAACTGTTCTTTAATTTCCCTAAATGGTTCTTCCCTCGAGCGATCTCACGCATTTCCTTATTTCTTCCATATTAACTTATTACATCGAAATGTATCGGGATATTTTTGTGATGTGTATTATCCACGCCAACGTCCGTGTGCTATTCGTAGTACGGGACGTAGTTTTCCTTGTTCCTAGTTCTGCATTTTCCTTCTGAGCCTTCATTTTCATTGATGATAAGCGTAAAAGCTACGGCAGCTGTGACTGTTTCGTAGTGCTGCGGCGCTTTGGCATATCAATTGTGCATGGTATGCCGATAAAAGGGAATCCTTGCAACTACGCGGCATATTTAGACATGTCATGATGTAGCATAGTCATCGGGTGCTCGGCGACCTGGTGATTGAACCTTACTTTCGCCAGATTAGTGCGCCCGTTTCTTGATCTATTGCTTCGATTGACTTACGAAGGGTGTCGACTAGCGCCGATTGAGGGCGTGGACGCTGTTTGTTGGTTATGCCATAGTCTGTTTTGAGGTTGTGTGTTTGGGGATTTGTGACGGTGGTACGTTTGTCTTTCCCAGGTTCTCGATTCAGCCATCTCCTCGTTTATGCTGGAGGTGATCGTTGGCCACGGTGAGCCGGCGCAGCGGCTGTGTAACAAGGACCCGTTCACCATCAAATCGGCCACCTACCTGCACCAGCTGTTCCCGCGTGCCAAGTTTGTGTTCATGGTGCGGGACGGACGGGCGACCGTTCACTCCATCATATCGAGACAGGTTAGCACGATTGAGAAGTTGAGGAGTGGACGAGTTCGTGGCGTGGCTAGTGAGTTGTCACGAATGTTCTGTAAGAAATAGGGAATTTCGATCGGTGGGTAAGGGAGCTGAATAGGGTCGTGGCTGGTAGAGAGGAAGGGGATTTCTCTGGTATGTGAGAAGCAGGAAGAGGTATTAATGGTTACCAGCCGGGCCTATTCAGTGCTCAACTCAGGCTGCCCTATGCGCGTGTGCCTCTATACTTTGTCATGTGCTGGACGGCGCTCAACACCACCCTCCCCGTCCCACGCCAGGTAACCATCACTGGGTTCGACTTGACCAGCCCGCGCCAGTGTCTGCGCCGCTGGAACACCGTAGTGGACACCATGGACCAGCAGTGCGAGGAGCTCGGCGACCAGTGGTGTCTGCGCGTCCCCTACGAGCTGCTGGTGCTCGAGCCGCGCCGGTGGATGCAGCGCATCCTTGGATTCCTGGATGTGCCCTGGAATGAGACGGTGCTGCATCATGAGAAGACTATCAATAAACCTGGCGGAGTGTCGCTGTCCAAGTGAGTAGAGAGGCGGGAACGGCTTGGGTGGAGTGGTGGGATTGGTGGTACGGTTTGAAGCTGTCTTTTCCCTAGTTGGAGTAATTTCCTTAGCTGTTGCATGGATTATTCTTGACAGGTGGTTTTGGCTGTGTATGTTTCCTGTATTTATTTTTGGCTTTGTTCCAGACGTGCAATAATCGGATATGAAGCGGCAATGCCTTTGGCAATGCGTATACCAGCCACTAGAGCCTAGAGGAAAATATATTATTGCATTAAGAGTGTCATGCAAACATCGTGAAAAACACTAGGCTTATTACATGTTTCGATTATGTACGTACAGCGCCATGTCTTGTCATTCGTTAATTAATTTCCTCTCATTGTACCGTACCAGGTGGAAAAGTCTACTCCTACTGTGCCCTTCGTACCCAGGTGATCTGACTCACTCCTCTGTCGTCCCTTGTGCCATCACCATGAACAAGTAATTTGACCTCCCTCTCCCGCACCACAGGGTGGAGAAGTCCTCCGACCAGGTAGTACGACCGGTCAACACGGACGCGCTTACCAAGTGGGTCGGCTGGTACGCCGAGGACGTGGTTCGCGACATGGCGCAGCTGGCTCCCATGCTGGAGACGCTGGGCTACGACCCGGAGGCAAACCCGCCCAACTATCGGCAGCTGCAGACTGACCGCGGCCACGAGTTTGATGAGGACCAGGACGGCGACGAGGAGGATGCAGAGGAGGTGAGGACGGGGGAAAGGGAGGGAAGAATATAGAGGGGAGGGGTGAGAGGTAGCATCAGCGAGGATGGAAATCAAAGTATGGGATGGAATAGTTTATTGGAAATCGGGGAAGAAGAATGGGAGGAGAGGGATGAATAGTAAATAAGGGATGAAAAGCATGGGCGAAAACATGAGAGCAGTGGGCGAAGTTGTTGGAATTCGGACTTGGCTTCGGAAATATGAAAAGCTGCGCGAGTTGTGCGGTTCACTCTCTACCTTTGTTTTCGGGTACGTATGGTCGGTTATTTTGCTCTGCCAAGTTTCTTGACAAACAATCATGCGAGTGGCGCGGTGCAAACGGATCTCTTGTTCATGTTTTGCACCTGTTCGGTCAATTTTTCCCGCTCTGGGAACGCTGAGACCCATTGCATCATAACGAGGAAAGTGGCGCTGCAAAAGCGACACAACACGGCCTTGTGGGAACCGAGAAAGTTCGCAGCACGCTTCGGTAACCGGCCCAGAACACCTGGTTCTGACAGTTTTTAGACACTTCTACTAAACTTTCTATACAGAGTCATGTGCCCTGTCATGTCTTCCATCTCTTGTATTCGGTTGGGGGCAGCTGCATTTTTCTGCGCATATAAACCGCTCCCTCCCCGCCCCGCTCTACGGAATTCGACGTCATTTAACGCCCACTCCCCCCCCCCCCCCCGCCGACCCCAGGAGGGCAGCTGACTTGATGGTCTATAGAAGAGGACCGGATACTGGTGGCTAGGGCTGGCCGGGATCACCGCTGTTATTTTAGAGCCGGACTTGCCGAGGACGGTGCTGTGACATTATTACACCAAAACACCACCAATTGCGGTGGTGTGACACCAAAGGCACCACGCTGGGTGAGTGGTGTAGTGGCAGAGCTATGGGCTTCATTGGCACCACGCTCCGTGGTGTTACCTGAGTCTGATGAGGGTTTCAGACGCACAGTGATGGCGCGGGGACTGAGTGCGACGCGTGGTGTTTCGACACAGAACTGTTCCAAGTCGTGGACGCAAGACTCGGTGGGTATGCGTCCGTCGGTGAAGTGATGCGAGTTTGACGGCACACTTCATATTTGAGTTCGCTTTTTGGACGAGACGCTCTTTATAAGACGTTACTATTGCTGAGATTTCATGCTAGGTGCTTACTGCTTAGCAAGGATAACATAACTTTTGTTAAAGAACTGGTTTATCTTGACAGACCTAAGAGCTATCTCCCATATTGGGAATTCAGTCTCCAGTTTTGTGTTCGTTTTTTTTTTCTAAGACAGTTATTTGTGCTCAGTTACCTACTAGTTTACCTAGAATGCTTCGTTGGGAACTGCTTAGGTTTAAATCTAAGTACAGCAATCGCGTGTGCGGCCTGTACAGATATTTTGTTGAGTTATCCCTAATCAAAAGATAATGTCTTTGTTGATCAGCTGATTTGACTTGATTTGTGGTATTAGTTAGTAGCCCTTTTATTATTTATCGTAGGACAGTCGCATAATATTTGGATCAGAACCGAAGGCCGGTTTTGATGCCAACAGTAACTGGGTACACAAAGCAAGCATGACATGTAATCTAAGCGCGATAGGGTAGTGTGGCATATTGTCATGTTTTAGCGAGAAGAATGTAAGGCTGCTGACTGCTGTCGCACACGCGCGTATGTCTCTTGAAGAGTCTGTAGTTATATGTAGCTGTAGTCAGACTTGTGCCGGGACCAAAAATCAAGATCCAGGATCCTCAAGGTCCCACCGCAAATTCAATTTTTAGAATCCAAGGTTTCCAAGGTCCAACGGCAAATTCAATTTCTAGAATCCAAGGTTTCCAAGGTCCCACGGCAAATTCAATTTCTAGAATCCAAGGTTTCCAAGGTCCCACGGCAAATTCAATTTCTAGAATCCAAGGTTTCCAAGGTCCCACGGCAAATTCAAATTCTAGAATCCAAGGTTTCCAAGGTCCCATAGCAAGTATACTTTGCAGGGTCCACAGTCCCCAAGGTCCCACGACAAGAATGCATTGCAGGATCAACAGTCCCCAAGGTCCCACGGCAAGAATGCATTGCAGGATCCACAGTCCCTAGGGTCCCACGACAAGTGTGAATTTCAGGATCCACAGTCCCCAAGGTCCCATGACAAGTACACACTTCAGAGTTCAGGGTCCACAGTCCTCAAGGTCCCACGGCAAGAATACATCTCAGGATCCAAAGTATTCAGGGTCCCACAACAAGAACTTAAACAAACTAACATTCTGATGAGCAGACTTACTTCTAAATATTCTGCCAATGGATGCCCAGCAACATTTAAAGGGGCAGAACCTATATGCAAACCTGTGGACTGTGGTGGTTTTATCATTAACCAACATAGGTAGGGGGAGCTTCAACACAAGTTAAAAATGAATCATAATATCAATCTCTCCTTTAACCTGACAAATTCGTAAAAAATATAGGTAGGTAAAAGGTACCTTGCAATTTGTATTGTCATGTCCCTTTCAATTCAATCTTACCTTATCAGTAGGAATGTAGGATAGCACCTTACAGTTATTGAAGACAGACATTCAAGTATTCTTTCAGGCAATATAAAAAAAAAAACAGAAATAAAACCTACAGGCTTCATAGAAATGGAAAAGTTGAATTGATAGTTACATGCTTTCGATTTTCTGCACATTCAGTTACATAATACCTAGGATAAAAAGAAAATATGTTCTAAGTCTTGTTTGCGCGAGCGCTCACAGAAAAACTGATCGACTAAGCCAATAGAATTAGAGTATCAGCGAGCGCAAACCTTACTTACTGTTCATTCACATTAGATTGAAGGCTCTGAACAAAATTCCATCTGACAATTTTTTCGTCAGCCGGTTATTCGTCGGCAGATTTTCGTCTGACTTTTTCGTCTTGCATTTTTTTCGTCTGTTCGAATTAATTTGGTGCATTTTTCGTCTGAGTATTTTTCTGTCCGGCATTTTTTCGTCTGGACGAGGCGGAAAATGTCCTTATGAAAATAATGCGCGGACATAAAAATGCACAGACGAACAAATGCATAGACGAAAGTCTGCGGACGAAAATCTGCAGACGAAAAATTGTCCGACGAAAACCTGCTAAACGAAAAAGTTGAACTGTCATGGAATGATTGCTTATATTGCTCATTGCTCAATGGTGATTTGATGAATTGCAAAACAAATAAGTTTGACACTTACTTGGTCAGTGGGTAGCTTCCAAGTAGCTTCAAGCCCGGCATATCACAACCCAGAAAATATGTGAGGTGAGATTAGAAAAGAACTTTCCAAACCACCACTGTCCACTGTTTGACAGTTTCATAATCCATAACATTGATAATGTAAAAAGCTACCAGGTCTCTTGTTCCAGTTCTGCCTCACAACCATGGCAATGATTTTGCTCTATATATGTCTACACAGTCTGGTTCGTTTTCTCTTCGTGTAGCTATCTAGCCCCTTGCAGCTGGTCGCTCAACCATATATATTTATTGAAGTGCTTACAGACAAAACCTAGTGCAGGGTCCTTAGTGGCCCAAGTGCAACATAAACCTCATGATGGTCCAGCTTCCAGGATTCTTGAGGTCCCTCAACAAAATGGTGGTGTAGGTCCAGACCGTTCTCCTAAGATCCCATGACAAATAATAAAACTGGTACTGAAGGTCTGCATTCTGCAGGGTCTTGCAGCATACCAAAATTTTGAGGTCCTAACCCCTGGGTTTCCATGGTTTTACGGCATATGAAATGTTGAGGTCCTGGGTTTCTAAGGTCTCATGTCACATGAAATGTTGATGTCCTGGGATTCCAAGGTCTCACGGCATATGCAAATGTTGAGGTCCTGGGATTCCAAGGTCTCACGACATATGCAAATGTTGAGGTCCTGGGATTCCAAGGTCTCGCGGCATATGGATGTTTTAAGGTCCTGGGATTCCAAGGTCTCGCGGCATATGGATGTTTTAAGGTCCTGGGTTTCCAAGGTCTCGCGACAAAAATGACAATGCAAGGTCCAGGATCCATCAAGGTCCCAGACCTTGGACTCTGCGAACCCTGGATCTCGGATCTTTTTGGGACCTTGGCACAAGTCTGGCTGTAGTGGTACGTTTCTTCACCGGGGCTTCCCCTTCAGAATCAGCCTGTATTTTCTTCGCCAGCTTCTATCATGAATTGTGCATCATGTTTGCCTAATGGCACGGTGTGCTGGGTGCCGATAAATGGCGTAAATTGTTTCTGAGCAATATTTGTGGGTATTTATATTCTTTTTTACGAATTTTCTATAATATTTCTACGTTTTTATGAACGTTTTATAGTTTGGTTTCTGCACAGAGCGTATTTTTTTCTATTTAGTGTTATTGCGGCGGCGGTTGGGACAGGTGAACTGTCTCGCGCGAGTTGTTCAGAGGCCGTGCTGTCAGCTACCGGTACAAAGTCAGAATCTGTGCCCGGAACGCATGTTCAGCCGGGCTGCTTCTTGAGTCAGGCACGCAATGGCTCACCACAGAAGCGATATAGAGTGCAGCGCGGACCGGCGGCTGTGTAGCATACTCGGAAATCGACGCCCCCGCCTCGGACGGTGTTTTGGGTGCGTGCAATGTGACGTTATGAGCCGTGTAAATGAAACATGGAGCGCTTTAGTAGCGAACCCTTGCAAAACCTGATGTAGGTTGCTCGCTGATTATGTGATGCTCTTTCGTGACCATGTGTAAATGAACCGTCATTTATCGCATGCTGGTAGCGGGGGCTGTTCGGACATTGACAATGTGAACGGTGCTTTAGACAGTTACTATAATACGTAGTGCCAATCATGCTTTGTGCTGTCCCTTCTGCTGAGGGTTTGTTAGTTAGAGCAGGGGCTTCAACCGTACCCCATAAGATTGCAGGGTTGGGGCCGTGAAGCCAAGAGCTGTGTTCACGAGATGTATAATAGGACGCACTTCCTGGCTTGTGATACTGGTATAGAACTAGGAGACCTGCTCATGCGAGCGAATTGGGGCGCTGTTTTTACTTACACTGTTTAATATAAGGACTTTTGTATATAACTGGTGTATGGTTCACTTGTATGATGGGATGGCGGCGTCTAACCGATACAGGACAGCTCAGAACTTCAGTGGAGCAGTCACTGTCTCTTTCCGCTGTTCGTTCGCTTTGGATTATCGCCGGGGGCTTCCCCCACTCCCCTCTCCCTCCCACACACTCCGTCTCGGAAAACTGTATTCTTATAGATCAAAATGTACATGTAGACAGCAAGCATGGATAACGCTGGGGTGCTCGCCCGGGCGGGTGTCCAGGGCACCTCGACTCCGCCGCTGGACGCTCCCCGCGGCGCCCGCGGCCGACCGGATCCCCGGCCTGTCGTAGTTTATCGATAAGTTTTGGCATGCGACCACGGCGCCTCAGGCGCCTCGTCGGAACGACACATGTTAGGACTGATGACAGCAATAAAAGACATCAGACATGATATAAATCTAGCCTACTGAATAGATCTATTCTTAGATTGCACACTGCATGTTTGGAGACGGCGAACAGTGAAGGTTACATGACATGGTCACATGCCTGTGGACGCTATATGAACGCTCCGATGCTCCTCTCTCTCGGCGGATAGAGGGGCTCGGGCAGGGGCGCCGTCCACTAGAACTACCCCCTGTGACGTAACAAGACCGGCGTCCCCCAGCCCCCGCACACGGCGCGTTTAGGGACCTAAGATCGCCGCGCGCCGGCTGCCCGAGTCACGCTGCAGAGATCACGTGTCGTCGTGCCGACGTCACATATCAGAACGATGACGTCAGTGTGACGTAAGGGATGAACTTTTCTGCACTGCCGAGAGGAGGTCTGGAAGGGTCGACCGTCTCGTGATGGGAGCAGTCAGACCTAGGGTTGGAGTCTGTCTGACTTCTCGCTCCTTGTTACTGAATATCGGCAGAAGTGCCGCCTTCCAGGGTATAGGTACCGACCCGCCCTCCCCCGAATAACTGGATAAGTCTGACAACGTATCGAGCTCCGCGCCACCCAACAGACAACGGCGTGGTCCTACCAAAGGCACAGCTAAAAATGAAAGTTGGCCGGTCTCGCCTGGAATGAAGCGGCTCTGGCGGCGCGCCGAAGGAGGCGCGGCACGGCGCCTAAAGGTATAGAGAAGACTGACCGGACTGGCAAAGTTCGCCTGTCCGCTCGATCGGCCAGGGACCCTCTCAGAGGGCACAGCAGGACCGCGCCGCTACCACGTTCATCGTTCTTCCTCACTCCCGCTTTCATCATCGCTTCTCGTCTGTACACTACGCGGGCGGTCGATCTACGGAGCTAGGAGACTCGCGGCTGAGACGCTGGACGTGCTGCCGGCCCTGCTGAAGCTGGGAGTGATCGGAGGACGTGGCAGTGTCCCTCCTCGGAGCTGATGAGAAGTCACTGGCTCCGTCGGGCTCCTCCACCGGCGAGCTTCGGCCCGAACTGAGCTAATGGAACACACACCCAAAGGTCGCCACCGCTAGGGGCCGCCACTCCTGCGCGGGAGCCCACTAGAGGAAACTTGAGAAACCTAGAATCACAGATTGGGGAGACGACGGTGGCTCCGTGAGACGCTCTGCTCTCACGCGGCTCTCACTCGCCTCTGTCTCTCTCACTCTCTCGCTCTCTGTCGGCGCTGGTCCGGCGCGTGCACACAGTTTATAAGCGTATTGCTGGTGGCCTGGCCAGCCGGCGGGCCTACAGGGGCGAGACGCGCGACGGCGACGGCTGCCGCGGCCTGCAGATGGTGCTGACCGAGTCCGACTCGGCCGGCGGAGCGTCCGCGGGGCTCGGCGGACTCGGACTGTCGCCCGGAGGACTGAGGTGGAGTCGCGGTGCCCGGCCGGCCGCCATCTCTAGGTCGACGGTGTCCAGTTCTTGGAGTCGCTCCGGTCCGCCGTGACCGGTCCCCGCGCCGGCCGGCCGACCGCCGCCCGTGTACGGCCGGAACAGGCTCTGGGGGCGGGCGGGGTGGCGTCAGATGGGGCGGGGACGGGTAGGTTAGGATTTTGAATATGTTGAGCGTCTGTCGTTTTGTCTGCATTACAAGTTAATGTTAATTCCGGGTATGATTCAATACCCTGATTATCATGGAGTTCAAATGCATGTTCCCGAACGGGACACGCAGCCCTAGCTGGTAAATTTCCTTATGTTTACCTTTATATCGGACAAAGCACCCTCACAAGATGCATAATTACACGGTACTTAACCCTATTCCTGGCGGGCTCCGCCGGGACAAGAAACTGGCGGGGGGGCCGATTCGGCCCCCCCCCCTGAGATCTCGAGAACGAAGCAAGATAGCGACAAGCGGTAAACGGCATCGGATACGCACGGCCAAGATCTACAATTTTTACTAAGGTCATTTTCAGGTCAGGTCAAAGATGACGTCACAGGGGTCGAAAAAGTCAAAATGGCGGCACTAGATATGGAGAGAGTTTTTCTCGAATAACTTTCGAATTAGTCAAGATAGGAACAAACTAAGGGCATCATCGTGATCCTCTCGTCAATCCGCATCGAATGATATATATGTTGACCTCGAAAGGTCAAGGTCAAAGGTTGACCTCAGGTCACGTGACCTCGAGGTCATCATGTATATCATTCGATGCGTCTTGACGAGCTGAACACAATGAGACCATCCACGCGTCTGTATCTTGTTCCTGTACGGAGTTATTGGCCAAAAACCTTTGGTGACCTTTGATGACGTCACATGACCTCACAGCTGCCCAACAGCAAAACAGACCTCAAGGTAGTGAAGGTTGATCGTATATGAAGTCATGTATGGTATATGGGGCCATTCCGACCCGTTTTAGTGGTAAAAACAGGGAGTTGATTTTTCCCCCATTGACTTATAATGGGGAGGTCGCGAAATTGACCTGACCTTAGGTCACCGATATCAAAATTCCGAGATATACAAATTGCACATACTGGTACCCTAACTAAACCCTGAAGAGAAGAAATTGATCGGTCAAAAACTCTAGCTCTGGCGTGATTGCAAACTTTTCTGAGGTAGCGTCACCAAACCACCTCTGGTGACCTGACCTGAGGTCAGATCAACTTAAAATTTTCAGACATGTTGCGTAGAAGCCTTTTAGGAAAAGTCAGAAAATTTGAGCTTCCTAGCTCAACGCGTTTGGGAGATATAACCAAAAAACCTCAGGAGGGGCTCCTGAGGCCCCCCCGCCAGGAATAGGGTTAAGCAATTCCCGTTTGAGTACCACGGGCCAGAACGGTTCTCCTAAGCTCATATTCAGGAGAGGGGGCGATATCCCACACCCAGAGGAGGGGAACAGTTGGGGTTTTGTCCGCGGTGCCGATGCAGCCGGCAGTGCACGGCAGGCGGAGGCGGCAGCGGCGGCGCGCGGTGACTGCAGTATATTTACCGTGGCCCGAGGGGTGGCGACGTTACGCCAGTTGCTCCAGCTTGGTCACGGTGGCCTACAGAGAGACAGAGGCAGCGTCAGCGGCAGCGTGCGCCCGCTCCCAGCGGCCCAGCCGGCAGCCAGCGCCGCCACACACAAAGCGCAGCAGCGGCCAGCCAGCGCTTGTCAAGCAGCAGCGTCCGGCCGCCGCAACTATAAATAAGCATTGATCGACCCAGTGGCGATTTCGTTCGAAATGCACGGTGATGGCCGGACCCATTCTTCGAACCGACCCGCGATGCTGACGCATTGCGACAGCTGGTTGAACCATAGCGCAGCATGCTCGACAGCTATTGCCCAAAATTCTGGCGGCACGGCGCGGCGCAAGCTTTTGGCAGCGCGTGATGCAAAAGTGTGTTCGCAGAGCGGCCGCGACCCGCGCGTCCTCTGTAGCTAAGCGTTAGTTGGTGATACTGTCAGCAGGTGGCAGTGGCGGCGGTACCTGGTTGTTGTCAGCAGAGGTGCGCCGAGGCCGTCCGGCGCAGCAGCAGGAGGAGAGCAGACCGCGCCCGGTCGCCCCGGGCGAGGGGCTCCGTGGTGGGCTGCCGCCGGGCTCCCCGTGCAGACGCGTCGGCTGACCGTTGAACGGTACATCCGTGACGAACTTGCGGTTCTGTCGGAGAGCGAACGTTTCAGAGACCGGTTAGACCGTATGGAGGACATTCACACGTGAGACTGTCATCCAGCAACAGCGTTGCGCTTATAATGGCCAGTTTAAAGGATATTTGACGTATCATACTTATCTATCATTTTATACACCTAGCCGCCCAAGTGTGGCTCGAGCAGCCCAGCTAAACAAAAAATTGCACTGTTTTCCGGGGCTCTCCAGTGCTCATTCTACTTATTGTCTGTCTGTAGGCAGGTGGTAAGGCAACCAGATCTTGTCTCTTGCAACGATATCTGCCATAGATGGCACTCAGGTGTCAATTGGGAGGTAGGTACCCTTTCGTATAACAAGACCTTTTCAGGGCCGAAAGGATAGAAGGAAGTAGGGGGAGACATTGGTCTGGGCAACCACCGTGATGCGCCGCCGGGGCTGAGCCCGTCCTGTGAACAGGCCACCCAGCCCCTCTAACGATCACCCCATCGCAAGTGAGCATGCTCTTGGGGAGCTTCTGGCGTCAGATGAAGGTGACTATCCCACACAGATGCGGGGGAAGAATTTGACTATCCTGAGGATGGAAATGACTGGACGGTTTATGTGCTCAATTCTTTTAAACTGATATTAGCTGTGGCCTGTGATATGTAAATAAGCAGCATAAAGTTAGATACGGTCGTGAGCGGGGAGCGCGTTAACCCTGTCATATCGAAGCTTGTGGATAGCCGAGCACTGGAAATTTATGACTCCTCACAGCCAGGCAGCGCTCCAAGTTCATTTACTTTATATTTGTCGCTCCAGCGTACATTTTATTTGCAGATGCAGATATACCAATTACAAGCGTTCATATGCAATCGCAATCGTTGACCCAGGCCTTATTTTCCGTCATGTCTTCTCTAAACAATGAAATATGACATCAAAACACGTAATGAGTAGTTATTACTCTTTACCTACTGAGTGAAAATTTAGAGGTCGTTTATTAAAGAGGAAGACTGTCGTTTACCGGTATGTGTCTAAATCACCCACTAGCCAAGCCTCAGTGTCATTTCGTCATGCCGTTTCGGTGGACCGCCGCTGCATTTAACCTGACGTCGTAAGTGAAACACTTATGTGAAATGCCGTGACCTTTTCTCGGACCGCCATCGTTCATATTTGAAGTAACTCTCGGCTATAAAGCTGACAAATGTTGCAATCATATTCCAGACCATGTTTATGAAAAATGTATCAATAGCTAGCCAGGCGATCTAGGGGATTGGGATAAAGGAGTTGTCCGAAATCAACCACTTGTCATGCCGCATTATTTGCAGATTGACATTTTGCACCACGTATTAAATATAAATGTCACTAGTGCATGGTTGAACTGTTCTTTTGTGCAGGAATGTTACAATTTAGATCGTAACAGCATATTGGTATATCGAGCATTGCATTGCATTATATCGCCCGGGGCACGAATGCTTATGGTCATATGATGAGGTAGACAATTAAAGTACCGTTTTAGCACTTCGGTCCCCGTAACTCTACGCTAATCGGTCTGAGAATGTCTAAGTGTGTCTCAAAATACCACGCGACCTTGTGCAAGCTAACTCGTCACGCAAAAGGACGATCTGCGGGGCGACGGCGTCCATCAGAAGCCACCGCCCCGCCCCGCTCGCAATGTCACGGACCAACCGAGACATGAGGCGTAACCCCATCAACCCTATCAAACACTGAGGCGGGCACCATGTCTGCCCGACTCTAACCGACCGACCCCGCTGTTCTCCATGTAGCTACCAGTGTCGTCGATCCAGCGACAGCTTCCGTGCAGCCGGAGCGGCCGTTAGCCGTGGCCGCTGAGTAGCTCAGCCCTCCCCTGCCCGCCGGGCGCCGGGCTGACACCCTTCCTCAGGCTCTGGCGCGGGGTGGCACCGTCTCCCCCCGGCGCGACTGGACGCCGGCAGCCCGCCTCATCTCGGCGCAGCGCGATTTCCGGCCTTCCTCCTTGCACAATGCCGCGGTACCGGCGCTGTGTAGCCAAAAATAGCCGGTGGGCCTTGCGCCGGGTCCAATCGATACCGGCGGCTCGGCGCCGCCGCCGGCCGCCGAGCCAGAGGCAGAGGCAAGGGCAGAGAAGGCAGAGGTAAGAGTTGAGAACGCAGCGGCAGAGGTAGAAGTAAGGACGAAGAAGTTGAAGGGAAGGCAGAGAGGGAGAGGTAAGTGCAGAGAAGGGAGGAGAGGGCAGAGACAAGACCCTATAAGTCTAGAAGCAAGCGCAGAAAGGAAGGAGAAATGAGGAAGAAAGCAAAAGGTAAGCGACTAGAAGCATTGCCTGGGCAAAGAGCTATAGGAAGATGCCAAGAGCCTGATAAAAATAAGGCTTAACGAAACAGAGGGGCAAATACATCTGTGACAACTGACAAAGGTGAAAACAGTGAAAGAGGAGGCGGTCAAAGACGATGAGCAGCGAGTACTTGAGGATGGAGAAGAGATGACCGTTATAGATTTGATACAGGTGATTGGTGGGCGAATAAGTTTGAAAGCTCGGTTATCGGTTCACAAAGAGCAGGGTAACTGAAATAGGACGGGATAAAGCAAATGCCTAACTGTTCACATGGCAGCTGTCGAACCATTAAAAAGTGAAGGGCACTAAAACAATTAATCATATTTAATCGCCTAAACCCCCATATTATGGTAATGGTGATGGTAGAATTAGGAATTTATGACGGCAGTGAAATGGAATGATAATATAGCTGCATTATGTCATAGGTTAGCGAAGAAATACAATTTCGAACGTTAATTTACAATTTACGAGTAAAATATGCACAGTTGATTATTAGCAGCGGCAGGAATTATGCCTACCATAAATAGGTAAAGCTAATCAAACATGATGTGGATTGTTGAGAAAGTAGACCAAATTCATGCAATTTCAGCCGCTGATACCGTATCCGTATCTCCGTCCTACCCACAGAGCCGCGGGCGGCGCAGGCCACCCTGGCCCCGGCTGAGACCACCTCCCATTACCCGGAGGCGCCGCGGTGGGACCGGTGTGCGCTGTCCATGGGGAGAGGGGGGGGGGCAGGGGCACTCGGCGCCGTGTCGACTGCTATGACGTATCATCGGCCGTCTCCCTGGAGCAGCCGATGACCGTGACGGGCCGACCAATGGACGCAGCGCATGAATAACATTACGCCTGCTGACAGCACCGGAGACGGGGCCCGCGGAATGCGCTGCACGGGGCCGCGCGCTGGAGGGATGCGCAGGGGAGGGGGCACCCTGGGTGCTGGAGGGGTGGCACGGGGAGGGGAGGAGAGGGGACGGGGGGGTTGACTGGGGTGAGACCGCTCCGACGCCCCCACTCGATCACCCCGGCTGATGAGGATAGATGATTAGTATTAGAGTGCGTCAACTAGACTAACGATAACTAGACTAACTAGCGATTCCAGGGATCACGCGAGTAGGAATGACGCGAAAAGAGCGGAGGAAGTGTAGTATAACGCTTTTGCGTAGCCATTCCGATTCGTAAAGGCTACTGCTAATGCTGAGTCACCAGGCACTGAACTGTAAATGCTATGAAACTAAAGACAAATAATATAGCAGTAGACTAGAAGTAGACACATGACCTATCCTATCAGTTTGGCATTTTCATCTATCAGCATGGAAAGATGAAACAAAATAATAGGCACCAACCAACAGACGTTGCGTGCAGCTAGCAGGGTCCAGCCTCGAGTCCTGGTCAGAGGTGCTCTTCACAGAAAAAAAAGGAGATTTCTTATCACTGACTCTCCCTCCCTGAGTACTGATCCTTTGTTCTTGGCCAAATACCGACATCATCTAACCACTGACTCCCTCTCTGATATCTGATTTCCAATCTCTGATTCCCTTCCGCGACCAATGACCGACCTCATCTGACCAGTCTCCCCCCTGTCCCGGCCGTGGCTCGCGACTGATCCAGACCGGAGCTCGTCAGAGCACGCTTCCGGTCGTCGCAGGCCTGCTCGTTGGCCGCGGCCGCTACTAATCAGCGCGCCTAATTCACTCCATTGGCCACAACGACTCACTACATTGGCCGCAGCGACCCCGCATTGGTCCAGCGCGGCCAGTCAGCGGGCTGCAGCCGCTGAGCCGCGGCCGCAGGGCTGCAGCCACAGCCGGAGGCCAGAGCTGTGTAGATAGAGGGGCTTCAGCCGCGCAGCTAGAGAGACTGCAACCACAGCCACAGCCACAGGCAACATCTGCCCAACTGTGTCTGTGGATGCTGCAGCATCCTGGAGAGATTGCAGTCACAGCTGCTATGCTCGTATGTATAACTTACACGAGAGGCTGCTCGTTGCAGCCATGAGAGCCGAGGCATGATTCAACTAGCCTGACAGGCCAGCTATTTATAAATGCCTGAAGTAATACTAGAATAGTTAAGTAGGGGACCTCAGTGATAAGAAAATCTGACTCAAGCTACCATGACTTGCCACAAACTGACTCAAAGCTGCGGAGCCGTTGGGACTGCGGTATTTGGCACAAAGCTGCCGCTGATCATCTGACTGACAGACAGGCGGCAAATGTTGGGAAAAGATAGCCTTGCCAGGCCCGCCGTGCAAACATTATGGTTTCGGCACGTTCACGCGGACGCAGAGCTCAGGTTACATCCTCCTAAAGCTGTATCCCGGCCGGAAACCGTACGACCACGCCAAGCATGAGGCGCACTAACATGCCTGCATATTGCATATTGAAGATGTTTTTTTTCCGTGCAGCAGACCGCGCTACGGATGATTTTCGTTTGGTGTTTACATTGGCCTGGGCCCTGGTTGCATTATTTTTCCTGTTGACTGATACACTTCAAACCGCTATTACTTCTTCCGATCGATACGTATTGTGCTATTCCTGATCAGAAAACCGCGCATATCTCATGAATCGTTGCACGTCGAATTTCCCAATCAAGAAATCATCATTATCCGTGTCTCTCTTGACAAGATCATCACTTACCGTGGTTTTCTCCAGACAGCGAAGTAGGTGATGATGTTGCAATTCGAAAATGTCTTCTTCACCCTGACCTTCGAGCTCGAGCCCCGCCTCCTGGGCCTCGAGTCTCGCCTCAGACGCCTTTTTCTTGGAGGCGAACGCCGCTCCAGACGACACCTTGGCTAGCTTGATCCGTGCCAGACGCGCTTTCTGTGGGGTCAACAGATGCGCTATAAGTTCATATTGGCGCACACAATTTGTAGTGAGCACGTATGTGCGTGTGTGTCGTGCCTAGAAGGGTCTACGTGCCACGATACGGGCACATGGATGGAGTTAATGTTTTGAAATGTTTTGGAATTAAATCATAGGACGTTGCTTTGATCATCCCCAATTGTCATTTGATGTGATGATTTTCATTTTTTTATCGGACTTCAAGGAGTTAAAGTGCATGCACTTTAACTGCCTTATTGTTTACTTGTAAAGCATGATGTGATCGATGTAAGCTCACCTTGCGCTATTTGTATAATCGATCTTCAGCGTCATGTAGATGACTTAGTTTGTCGCAACCCTTGGCCCTCTTGAGCGCTTAAATGCAGCTAAGTTGATGCTCAAACACACGGCCCATTTTATGACTTATAAAGTGCCCCATTTACATTCCACGGGCCTTGGCACTGTATCACGAAGGACCATCGCAGCATGCCAATATCACGGGTCCATCGCTCCCGTCCGCCGCCGCGCCGGCGCCACTGCTGCGTAGGCTGTGCCGCGGCGCATCCCTGCACCGCGGCACAGTCTACCAATCCAGGCCCTATCAGCCGGCGGCTGCGGCGGACCGACGCCGACCGCCGGCGGCCGCCTCGCTAATCCGACTCCAATTCCGACACCGATTCGAAGAGCCGGTCCAGTCAGCAAACGGACCGGCGGCGGCGCCTTCGCTGCTTCCCCTCCGGCGAGCCCCACAGTCGTCAGAGCGAACTGGCAGCGGCGGGAGCGAGCGGAGTCCTCACCTTTTGCGCCTTGCGTTTGTCGGCGCGCTGACTCTGGTGGTAGATCCGGCTGAAGTTGGAGACGATGACGGGCACGGGCAGTGCGATGACGAGCACGCCGCTGAGGGAGCACACGCCGCCCACCAGCTTACCCATGGCCGTGCTGGGCACCATGTCGCCGTACCTGAGGACAGAAGGGGAGGGCGCAGTCGGGCTTAGTCGGGGTCGTAATGGCCACAAATGTGTTATCTTGTTTCTGTGCTAGAGAAGAACGAAAAAGAGATAAGAATGGTAACAAAGTCACCATACATGTAAATGGCTACACTCATATAAGGCTTAATCGTGTTAGATTTCGTAAGAACAAAATCAATAAAATATCGATAGACCGTGTACCTGTCCCATTGGATAACCCTCTGGTTATCAGCCGTAATAATGTAATATCAATGGTACATTCCTAGTCAGTTCAAGCCCATTCTGGTAGACTGATTAACAATTTTACTCAATATTATATCAATGCAGCTAGTGGCAGCATAATAATTAAATACCTACTATGGTCGAAACTTATTTATCAAATTAACTCATAACTGCAATTTGTGAGGAGGTAGTTGATTTAATCATAAAATCATTTAAAGTCAAATCGGCTCTGTGTTCTTCAAACACTCGTCTGTTGGAGCGCCACCAAAGTGCTGAGTCGACGGCTCTCGAGCCACAATCGGCTCATCCCCTTTGTCTTGTTCGGCAGCTTTGGAAACTGACTTTGATTTCAGCTCGCTTTTATTGAAGTTCGCTGTTCGGCAACGCTTGGCTATAAACCGATCCCCACGACCACAACGCCAAGCGATTCAATGATCAAAGCACTGCAGTCGTAAATGTGTAATGTTTTCTGGGTAGTATGCCATACACACGAAAACAAAAACAGAATAAATAAACGAACAGAATGTGAGCTGTTTTACTACGGAATCAAACTCATCTATTTTTATCAGAGACTAGGAATATTTTGTCAACACCGTCTGGCATGGGTCCAATTTTATTTCAATTTTCCGACGGTCTTCTATCCCCGACCCTGACCCCTGGTGCCCAGTGCCTACCCCACTCCGTCCCCTCTGATTGTCCGTCGGCGGCAGCGGCGTTTAGCCTTGGCCGCCGCCACATGCCAGATGGCAGCATTGTGAGCGCGCGGTGGCGCCGTCACCACCAGCTGCCAGATCCGTCACCGGCAGCTGCCAGATCCGTCATCGCCACGAATCCGTCATCTGCGCGCCGGCGGTGATCTATGGGGTCGGCCGTCGGCGCCGGCCCCGTCCGCGTGGCTGCCTGCCGGCCGCACTGGTCCTGTCAGTGTGCCGTCCATGTGCCGCCTCTGCGCCGCCTCTGTGCCGTCTCTGCGCCGCCTCCGTTCAGTCTCCGTGCCGCCTTTATTGATTGTTCGTGCCGCCTCTGTGCAGTGTCCGTGCCGCCTCTGTTGATTCTCCGTGCCCCCTCTGTGCAGTGTCCGTGCAGCCTCTGTTGATTCTCCGTGCTGCCTCTATGAAGTATCTCTGCAATATCTGTGTCGTCTCAGTGCCACCCCTGTGCCGCCTCAGTTACGCCTCTAGGCCGTATCCGTGCCGTGCTGGTCTCCGTGCAGTCTCCTTTCAGTCTCCGTGCCGCTCTGTGCCGTCCCCATGCAGTCTGTAGCCTCCGCGCAGCCCCGTGCTGCCTTTATATAGTCACCGTGCAGTCCCTGGCAGACTCCGTGCTGTGTTTGATGTCAGATCCCGTACCGTGCTGCCTTCGTGCCGCCTCCGTGCCGCCTCTGCGCCGTCTCAGTACAGTCTCCGTGCAGCATACGTGCCGTGCTGTTGCCTTATCCAGTACAATGCCGCCTTTCTCGCCTCCGTCCCGTCCAACCGTACATATAAACACGGGCTGCCGGCACTGCAGCTCATGTTTCACAGCTCTGGGAATATGCTTTACCGTTTTGCTAATGTTCCATGAATAAAATAAGCTGCAAGTGAAATGCCGCCGCGTTAGGCTCTCCACTTGTCACTTTTGGTTCTGTTCTGCACTTTCAATTGCGCGACCATTCATAAGTCATGAAGCTGTAGTCAAATGCTGTACCTGTCCTGTGCCGTTATTGGCTTTGATGTCTTTTGTTGTTGGCATGTCATTGGTGTGCATCTGACATCCTTTACTCAAGCATGGCCTTCGTTCGATATTCCGTGCCACCGTTCAAAGGCACCCGCCGATCGTCATTGGGCTTCAGTTGGTCGGTGCAACGTCAAGGGCGCCGAGTGGCGACAATGGAATTCGGTGGTGGACGGCCATGAGCACTGGTTGATTGATCGGCTGGGCTCAGTCTCGGGCTCTTACCGGAGGTGCTGCAAGATTACCACTTTTTCACAACACTTTTACTAACGTAAAACAAACGTTTGAATTGTGCCTGGTAATTCAATTGGATGTGCATTAAGTGTGGGAATCAAATTTATAGTCATTTATTATATTTATGATGGTTATTACATAGATTTAGAGTCGTCGAAGTGTTATAAAAATGTTAAAAATATTTTCTGAATTATGGAGTCACTCAGCAAATTTTCCTTCACCAATTATACCTACATGGGTAATCAGCATATCATAGCTATGGATGAGCCTAGACTCATTGCCGGTGTGATATTTGTATTTTGTAACCCATTTGATAATGGTCGTAAAGTAAGCCTGCATGTTTGATGCTAAATGCTTCATGTCCCATTATTTTTTTAAAGTTCGTGCATTCCAGTCACTCATACCATCCCCCATTGGCAAAGATAATCTAATCAGAGTTCTAAAGCCGGCGAAAAGCTACTTAGCCACTGCCTTTACGTCAATTAGATCGAAATTCCTCCTGGATTTCGGCATCAGAGGACATCTATCTCTCGTCACGAAACCCGTGTCAGCGGCAGCTGGGGGTCGCCGAAACCCTGATCAGTGTTGACCCCTGACCTCTAGCCAGAGATGACCTCGATCAATTGTTACCTCTCGACCTTTCCGCGACAGCAGTGAAGACCCCTGACCTCTGCGGGGTCGATTGATTATAACCCCTTTCCCTTCACCCCCCACCCCTCACGTCCACCCGTCAACAAACAGCGGCCACCGGTCGCTCAGGAGACACCGCTCACCCGCTCCCCCTCCCCTGCGGCGCGCCGCTGACCTATCGGGGTCATAACATCCGGACGGGCGAGCCGCTGATGACGGGACCCCCGCGGGCGGGCGGTGACCGTCACATTGACAGCTTATCGTCGGCGCGCAGCACGCACACACGCAGCGCTACGTGACAGCGCAGCGGTGAGGGGCCTCGTGACAGGCGGCAGGCGGAGACGGGACAGAGACGGGACGGAGACGGGAGACGGGACTGAAACCGGACCGAACGTGGAGACTGAGTAATGATATAGAGAGAAGTGCACAACATGTGGTGGGGTAGCTTGGCACAATGGCACATGAAAGCTTGGCGAGGGCTCAAACAGACAGACACCTACAGTTCAGAGAGACCCAGTTCAGAGCTCCAGTTCTAGAGCTCAGCGAGGGGACATAGACGAGGGGGACATAGGCTCAGCCGCCGGTTCCCTATCGACCAGACCGCGGCACCGCCGACCCGCCGCCCCCTCCAGCCGGGTCGCGTTGCCGGCTCCCCTTTGTGGCCCGCTGGAGCCGGCGGCGGTGAGCCCGCTTCGGCGCCTGTGATTTATGTGCTCACGTGCGTCACGGTCGGACAGTACCGCCACTTTACTGCGACACGGAGGACATTGCCGACCGACCTGAGGACGGGGGTAGTGTCCGCACCCGTCCGGCGCCCACTGAAATACACGACGGTTCGCCCGGTCCGGAGCCGGCCAGCCAATAACGCCGGAGTATGGCGGCCGGGGCCATGAGTGAAACGGTTGCGTGTCTTGTGTATTGCCCAGGTTATGTCCCTTTGTTATATTTAGAATGTTTTATTAGCCCTATCACATAAATCAAAGTTACAATGTCTGACAAAGAAACTAGTTATCGCCACAAAGTCTCACGCAGCTCGCTGTATAGGTAAGGCATAGCTGCACTCAGAGCCCAAGAGACGCATTCAAATGAACTTATTGATGAGTTTTGTCTCGTGCAAAACTGAGTTGAGTTCTTGCAAAGGTGGCTGTTGAATGTGCATCTAAATTATTGTGCATCATTCTACTTTTCGTGGGATTCTCCTTGACAACAAAGCGTTATACTGGCCCTGTCTTCAACTCGACAAATGGCTGCTCCAGACGTCTGTGTCTCGGCCTCACAATCTCGCTCTGAATTCAGCAGAACGCCGGGCGTTCTGTTGTTGCAAACTTGCGCTATCAACTCTCCCGAGTGATTGCAGGCCGTCCACCGACAATGACTCTGTTCTGTGGCCGTTAATTTTGTCCGTGCCCAGTCTGTGTCGCTCTGTGACGTGTACTGATGTGTGCTGACGTGAGCTGACGTTAGCTGACGTGAGGTGATGTTCAGACGTCACTGAGACCTGTCCACTGCTGAAAGATCGATGCGCTCTCCTGATGTCCCTGCTTCATCACTTGCGGTTCAACGCCCGATGTATGTACATACTTGGATGGTTGCAAGCAATGGCGAGGAGCAATTTCAAGACGCATGCCGCGCTATTATTCCTTTTTTAGTAATGAGACTGTGGAATGGCTTGAAGCTAGTTGTGTTTGAATAAACTCCGGGTTTAACTTGAACAACGAAGCGTATCGGGCTACGCTGTGTAAGAAGATGACTAAGCTGCAAAATTACCTATGCTGATTGCACGTGACAGAAAAAGACGTAAACAGTTCTATTTTATACAGATGGATACTGTGCAGCAATCAACCTTCGATCCTAAAGATACAGTCATGCTTCATGTCTGTCTAGGGCCACTATTTTCAATTACCTATATATGATCATAAATTCATAAATTCCCTACTTTACCAGATCAAGACTTCACACATCGCGCATGCTAAGCTGAATCTCAAGTCGGCTCGCCTGTAAATTAGTGTAATATCTGCATAATGATATGTAAATTGAGAAGCAGTAACGTTCCATTATTAGTTTCCCCAAGTATAATTGCACCTCCGACCCACAGTGAGTTCAGAATGACGCGACTGCCCCTATAGTTACTCTGACCGAGCGGGGTCGGTGGGCTGGACTGACGCCATACGTCTCCAGTTTAGGGCCTGTTT